AATAGCCTCATTCATATGTAACATAATGCTATTAATATGTAAATAAACTTTGGGCAGTAAAGAATTTGGAAACATTGTATTCCCCTTTTAACAGGAGCTTATTATTTTGTTTGAATCTCAGCCAGATTGGATAATGATCAGGCTGACTTAGAATTTAAGGTGTGTAGACCAGGCCATAAGAGTATGGAAGGCTGCTCTAATTTTACTTTAAAATTAACAACCCTATGAGTTTGGACAAGAAGAAAAAAAAACAATTAAAAACAGAAGCATAATTTCCAATTTCTTCCTCAAAGGTATGCCAGAGAAAGAGGCAAAGAAAGTTACATAGCCACAGTTTATGGATGTAACGCTAAATCGTTATTTAATGTAGTATTTGTAATGGATCAGTGAATTCTTTAGTTGGAAAGCCAGTGTTATAAATCACTGTGCATAATTCAAAAACACTGGATTACAAATGAAGCCCAGGGACATCAGTTCTTTAAAGAAAGGTAATACTATTGTTAGAAGAATAATTTGGCGGTTCTGCAAGCCGGGTTGTACAAGAACAAATCCTTGTTCTCAAGAACAAATAAAAAATGAAATCCAAAAACTGTGAGAGGAGATTCTCTCCTTCCTTTATTCCCAAAAGCGAAGAGATTTGCTTTTGGGGATAGGCTACAGAGAAAATGAGGTCCAGAGACTTGGTTTTATAGGGGAACTGGTCCTTGGTGTGGACTTGGGGGGCGTGGTTTGTATATGTGGTGGTTCTAATGTCTTTGTCCAAAGGTAATTGTCCTTCCTATGCAAATTGAGGTGACCCTGTCCTGGGCTTTGATCCTGAGGTGCCTGTGGAATCTGGAAAGAAGATTGCCCTCTGATATGTAGATCCCTCCCTAGGCATGTTCCTTTATCCTGAAGGATTCCTGCCTCCCTAATAGAGCCAATGAGGTACTAAAAGGGGGGGAGGGACATCAGAGATCTTCCAACACTATATCACAAGACATCCCTCTCTCCCTCATCATGACTGATTGAATATTTTACTTGCTGGATTATGCCAGTCGCTATGCAATAATATAATCCTCTGTAGGGTAAACTATGGATTAGGAGCATTCTGATATACTGTTAAGCAGTGATACCAGACAAAATATGAAAAGGATCACAAAGCAATGAAAAAATCTGGGGTTCTACATTCAGCAACATTATGTTTTATAATTCCTCTGTGATGGTTCACAGATATTCACTGCAGGGACCATTATCTATGTGTCTGTCCTCTGTCTCTACATATTATACCAGTGGTTCTCAACCTTTCCAATGCCGTGACCCCATAATACAGTTCCCCATGTTGTGGTGACCCCCAAGTGGGTGTGGCCACCAATAAGAGGGAGTAGGACAGCTAGGGAAAAGGGAAAAAAATGGCGGACAGCATGGTTTGGCGACCCCCGTGAAATGGTCATTCGACCCCAAATGGGGTCCCGACCCACAGGTTGAGAACCACTGTATTATACCATCTCTCTTGTTCTGCAACTCCTCAAAGTAGAAGTCCTGATCTCCTTTAGAAAGCCTTTCTACTGGGTGAAAATATGATCCAGCCCTCCTTGGGTGAACAAAAAACTACTCCAGCATGACATTTTGTGACCCCATTTTGGATGCCTATTCTGCCTCTGTTGCCTCTGATTCCTTGTTCCAAGGTACTATTGTGATTATATTTGCAATGTACATAATTACTAAAGCAATGATTTGATTCCACGGTCTTTGCTTTCCTTTGTCTTCTACTGCTAATCTGTGGGAAAAAAGCATCCACAGTTCCAGCCCTGCAGTAGAAATAGGGCAGGTCTGACTATGGGACTATGTTCATTATCTCTAGGCTCCTTCTTGTGCTCCTTCCCATTCAATTGTAATCATATATATATGGATCTTGAAGTAAGTTGAGTCACTAGCAGCACAATTTCTCTTCTTTCTTTACATGCATTAATATTTACATCACACATGTCAATACATCTCTTCTCTCCATAAATTCAGCCCTGTACTCAGCAGCTAATTGTAGCTGCTCCAAGGACACTACTGAATAGTTTTTATTATAGATATGAAAAGAGTAACATACTGTATGTGCAAAAGATCAGTCTAATGTATTATACATTTGTTCTGTGTTTACAAGTGGTTCTGTCTTGTCTAGTCTTTGCCTAACCAGTTTTAGCCTAATATAGACAATAAATTATGACCTCTAGATTCTCCCAAATTTTGTTTGGGAGGAAACCGTGGAGAAGAATTAACCCTGCCTTTCCAGTGTTATGCTATTTTAGCCTGTTGTCACATTACACCATTACATAATTTCAATGTTAGAATATTTAAAGCTCCATTACTGGGACTTGCACTTTAGAGACATCAGCAGAATGATGGCAAATGAAACTGGTCAGATGTGAGGAATGGTGCCTACGGATGGGGAGATAGTATGATGGACTACAATGAAGTTTCTCAGGAAGAATAGAACATATTTCAAAGAGGATGCTGAGATAAAAGGCAACAGCACCCAGAGTTGAACAGGAGACAGAAGAAAAAAATTTAGGACAACCACTCCCTAGAACAGGGCTGTCAAACTGGTGGGCCCACGGGCCATTTGTGTCACGCACAGGCTATGCCCACCCCGGCTCTGCAAAGGCAAAAAATGTCACGATACATCACAGTACGTCACGTGACATGATCAAGTTTGACATTCATGCCCCTAGAATCTCTCAGAATGTATCTGTTGGGGTGAGAGTAGTACGGGTTTAGTCTTGCAAGAGTCCGTCTGTTGGGTGTAAACAATAAAGAATGGAACTTTGGCTGGATTGTTCTGTGTTGTTCTTAGGCTGGACCTGATATCAGGGAACAGATGGAAGAAGACATACCCACATCAGCATGAGTCACTTTGTTCCCATTTGCTATTGATCATCTGATTCACCTCTAATATAACGAGTGATGAAGAGTAACAGATTGTATATATCTTTTAACTGCAACTTGCCATTGCCAGTTTAAGTGAGAAACACCACTGTAACTGTGGTATAGCCAAGAATGACATAAACCTATGTACTCATGGGCTAGGATGCAGATGAATGTGAATACAGTTGAAAAAAATATACATAAAGAATACAGAATAACAGAATTGAAAGGGATCTTGTAGGTAGGTCATCTAGTCCAACTCCCTACTGAAGCAGGAGACCCTATAGTACCATTTCTGACAAGTGGTTGTCCAGTTTCTTCTTGAAAGCCTCCAGTGATGAAGCACCCACAACTTCTGAAAGCAAGTTGTTCCATTGGTTGATTGTTCTGTTAGAAAATTTCTCCTTATTTCTAGGTTGAATCTTTCCTTGATCAGTTTCTATCCAGGTTCTTGTATGCCCTTTGGGTGTTTTGGAAAATAGGTTGTCCCTCTCTTCTCTGTGACAGCACCTCAAATATTGGAACACTGCTTTCATGTCATCCTTGGTCCTGAATCTACCCATGCCCACTTCTTGCAACTGTTCTTCATATGCTTTATATATCTTCATATGTTTTAGCCTCCAGCCCCCTAATCATGTTTGTTGCTCTTCTCTGCACTTTTTCTAGAGTCTCAACATCTTTTTTATAATGTGGTAACCAAAACTGGATGCAGTATTCTTAATGTGGCCTTATTAAGGCTTTATAGAGCAGTACTAGTACAACACAGGATCTTGATTCAATCCCTCTGCAAATGCAAGATAGGATTATATTGGCTTTTTTGGCTGCTGCTGCACACTGCTGACTCATATTTGATTGTCCACTAGAACTCCAAAATCCCTCTCACAGTTAGTGCTATTAAGCCAGGTTTCACCTAATCTATACATGTACTTTTGTTTTTTCTTGCCTAAGTGTAAGAGTTTGGTTTTCTCTATGTTGAATTTCATTTTGTTAGATAGGTTCCAGTGTTCAGGTCTGTCATCCATCTGGATCTTCAACCTATCATCTAGGGTGCTGGCTATTCCTACAGCTTAGTATCATCTGCAAATTTGATAAGTTCCCCTTATCAAATTGTCAGGCTGTGTTTTTTCTGCTTCTACAAACTGATCAGGAACTGCTGTTAATCAGGGATGTTGAAAGCATACTCCCTTATGGCTGTAATGTATACATTTGTTGAACTCCAAAATATCTTAATATCACTAGGATGATGGAAGTTCTTCTAAAAGCTGTCAAGCCCTCCACACATATAATGTTGTACAATAGCTTTGAGAAAATCTACATTTGTTTCTCAAAAAGGTAGTCCATGTTTATTTGCATAGCAAAGTCTTACAACTATTGCCAAAATTAGGACTGGCATATTGCCCTGCATGAGGCCCATAGAAGATTAAAGCATTTTCTCTCCTGGAACAAATCAGGCTAAAGTTGGATCTACGGTACAGTGGATTACAAACTTACATTTAGGACTGAGTGAACCTTTTATTTGAAATATTCTCAGTAGGGAATCTAAACTTAGAGCCAAATCACCTTCAGTGAGCAAAGTTATATCTTAAAGGGAGTTGTTTTTAAATGAGATACATTCCTTTCAGCTCTCTAGGTGCCATGAGAAAGTAAGCTCCAAAGCTTTATGTCATGGATCTAATCAAAGGGCATTTGTCTTTCATTTGCTCAATCACTCTGTAATATATCTATGCAGAATGAGCTCCAATTTTCCATGAATAGAAAGAATAAATAATGTTACTAGAGGGATACCATACTGTAAATTTTGAAATGGGTCCCAATACTAAATCAGATTTTTGTTTAAAACTTCTGTTTCAATTTTAAAAGGTTTAGGTCATTCAACAAAGCTAGTAGAATCCCTACCATGCTATAGATACACAGCAAATACTAATTTGCCCTTTTATAAAATGGATGGGATCATCAGAAGCCACCCTGGTGGATTGTCATTGCTGATCCTAAGTATTAATGTACTAGGATAAAAAATGTTTTTTACAAAACATGAACAAGAATGCTTCTGACTAGCCATTAACTAAATGAACTATAAATCCTGGTAAATTTATGTTTTTACTTACCAAGATCAAAGACATGGACTCCTGGAAGGCAATACTCAGCATTCTTGCTTGAACAACCTCCAAATAAATATATCTTGCCTTTTACTACACTATAAAGCAAAGTTGAAATGTTAAAGTCATCCATAAAACTTCTGACTCTCCCTGCCCCCTTGGTTAGAATTTTCTGTAGAAAAATAAACACTTGATTCCTTAAAGAATATTGCTGATCTGTAATATACATCACACAATTGTTATCAATAATCTAATTTGGGAGTGGAGAGGTTTTTGATTTTCAACAACCAGGATTCCATGATGTGCCTCCAACAACTGCCCAGCTGATGAATCTTAGGAAGAACTGAAGATTATGACAATGTGGGTGTATTTCCAGGCTGTTTCTAGCATTCATCAGCTGGGCAATGGAATCAGGTCAGAAACAGGGAGGGGACAAGGGCTATATGGAAGCCAGATGAGGGCTACAAATTATTTGTAGATCATAGGATGCCCAAATGAGATCTACTTTCTGACTGGTTTTATTTTGGTGCAGCTTATATTTCTATAATTAGTGTTTTTATAATTTGGGTGTGTGCTCACCCATGCATAGCCTTGATGACTTCCAAAATAATTGGAATATATGAATAACTGTGCCTAATTCGATACACAAACTGTGTAACCTTTTTTTTCACAATTAGATCAAGAAATGGGTTCCCCCTCCCCCAAAAAATGCTTTCTTAAAAACTAAAGGAAAAAGGTGGTTGATTCCATAACAAATCACCTGGCATGAAAAAGGCAGTTGGAAAACAGCTGTAGTTTTATTGCAGATGAAGTGAAACATCTCTTGAGAAAGTGGATAAATTCTTTAAACTGTATACTATCTCACCTCATCCTCACACATACTTTCTAAAGTATAAAGCTACGCTTGTGTATTGAAAGAAACAGGTCTAAATGGAAGCAGAATTATAAACTTGGAGGTAATGAACAGGAACGAATTACACATGAAAATTACTTTCTGGTCTTTCATGGTGGTATGAAGCATTTAGTATGTAATGCCTCACTAGCAGAAAAGTTTATGTTCAGCAATAGCAGTTCTAGACAATTTGATCTATGCACACTGCAATTGCCTGTACAAGAAAGGCTTGCAGTGATGTGTACATTATAGAGACCTCCTAAACTTGAACAGCTTGTGGCACTTGTAATGTGAAGCACCTATGGAAGTCTATATAGCTCAGGGGTCTTCAAACTTGGCCTTTTTATGACTTGTGGACTTCAACTCCCAGAATTCCTCAGCCAGGCACTGTAGCTATTTATGTCTCAGAGGCCACTGGAGATTTATAATTGTGTAAACCAACCATTGTTTAGTGGAGTGGTCAGTTTACTGTTATTTCTAAGTATATCTTCCTAGGTATTTTTAAAGTTCTCTATCAATAAATACAAATCCATATCCACTGTTTTTTAAAATCCATTTGGAGGGGTGGGTGAGAAATGAAATTCCTCATATGGCTTATCTCATACAGCTTTGTATGAGATTCTTGATTTTGCCATGCTAGAGTGGGCGAAGAAATGCATGATGTTTGGAAATCTATATACTCCCTAATAAATTTGTAAGTGAACAATAATTAATCCAGCTAGATGTTAAACATTTCCTAAGCCAAGAAGATATGTTTTCAAACATTCACATAAAATAATATATTTGTTGTTGTTGTTGTTAATTGCGAAGTCATGTCCGATCCATCGCGACCCCATGGACAACATTCCTCCAGGTCTTTCTGTCCTCTACCATCTTCTGGAGTCCATTTAAGTTCACACCTACTGCTTCAGTGACTCCATCCAGCCATCTCATTCTCTGTCGTCCCCTTCTTCTATTGCCCTCAATCTTTCCCATCATTAGGCCCTTCTCCAGTGAGTCCTTCCTTCTCATTAGGTGGCCAAAGTATTTGAGTTTCAACTTCAGGATCTGGCCTTCTAAAGAGCAGTCGGGGGTGATCTGACCGGTTTGATTGCCTTGCAGTCCAAGGGACTCGCAGGAGTCTTCTCCAGCACCATAGTTCAAAGGCCTCAATTCTTTGGCGCTCAGCCTTTCTTATGGTCCAACTTTCACAGCCATACATTGCAACTGGGAATGGGCTATACGCACTTTTGTTGGCAGGGCGATGTCTCTGCTTTTTAGTATGCTGTCTAGATTTGCCATAGCTTTCCTCCCCAGGAGCAAGCGTCTTTTAATTTCTTGGCTGCAGTCCCCATCTACGGTGATCTTGGAGCCCAAGAAGATAAAATCTGTCATTACCTCCATTTCTTCCCCATCTATTTGCCAGGAATTGAGAGGGCCAGATGCCCTGATTTTGGTTTTCTTAATGTTGAGTTTCAAGCCAATTTTGGCACTCTCCTTCTTCACCCGCATCAAGAGGCTCTTTATTTCCTCTTCACTTTCTGCCATTAGAGTGGTATCATCTGCATATCTTAGGTTGTTGATATTTCTCCCGGCAATCTTAATTCCAACTTTTGTTTCATCTAGCCCTGCCTTTCTCATGATGTGCTCTGCATATGAGTTAAATAGGCAGGGCGACAGTATACAGCCTTGCCGGACTCCTTTTCCAATTTTGAACCAATCAGTGGTTCCGTGTCCAGTTCTCACTGTTGCTTCTTGACCCACATTTAGGTTTCTCAAGAGACAAATAAGATGGTTTGGTATTCCCATCTCTTTAAGAACTTGCCACAGTTTGTTGTGATCCACACAATCAAAGGCTTTAGCATAGTCAATGAAGCAGAAGTAGATGTTTTTCTGGAACTCCCTAGCTTTCTCCATGATCCAGCATATGTTGGCAATTTGATCTCTAAAATAATATATAGTCTAGCCATTTTACCTATAATGGACTTTTAAAAAAGAAAAAAAGCTCCACGAATCTCCTATGCCAGGGGTAGACAACCTTGGCTCTTTTATGACTTGTGGATTTCAACTCCCAGAATTCCTGAGCCAGCATCACGAATTCTGGGAGTTGAAGTCCATGAGTCATAAAAGAGCCAAGGTTGCCTACCCCTGTCTTATGCTGAAAATAGTTCATTTTCACTACATGCCAATATTGATATATTCATTGTAACAGGAATCAGTTAGAGCAAACTAGTAACACTTTGTGTTATACTCTAGCATGCCTTGTTCTCTTTACCAAAGAACAAGCTCCATTTATCATAATGGCATTATTCTGGAGAAAGCTTGGATAGACTCTATTTCAACTGTTTGCACCAAAATTCAATTGAAGGCTAACTTAACATTTATTATGGATTTTCTGACCATTCAATAACCAGCATTTTTTGCTTTTGTTTTTACATATTTGAACTGCTGAAAAAATTGAGGTAGACAATGGTCTTTAGATTTTAGTAGCCTTCATCCTCCCTGGAGATAATGAGACTTAAAGTCAATCTGATATCATATCTGATCTGGTACAATTGCTTTCTTGGTTGATGGAACTCTCAGGGCTCCTAAGGGGTACTGGAATGCAGTTTTATTATTTCCAGCTGAGCAAAGCTGTACAATGTCCATTGCTGAGTTTTCCTACAGGGGAAATTGCATTAAAATAGAACTATTATGGATGACAATGAAGGGTGGACATCCATGCACAATCATAAATATGGATTCCTTACCAAGAACTAACCAACTGAGATAAACTGTTTGGTCCAATACAAACTATTTGGTGCCTTACAAATGAACGGACAATACAATTATTATTATTATTATTATTATTATTATTATTATTATTATTATTATTATTATTATTATTAATAGTTGGAAGGGACCTTGGAGGTCTCCTAGTCCATCCCACTGCTCAGGCAGGAAACCCTATACCATTTCAGACATCTTAGAATTCATGTATGTTTAGGTATAATCGAATTCATCTTAGCTTCACCAGTATTTCTGGAGAAAGTATTCGTGCTTTCCTTTCTTTAGGCTGAACTCAATTGCTTGAGCTCAATGCTGTAGAACAGTCTTCTGCAATGCAGTACCCTCAATGCAGTGCTGGAAGACTTTCGTATAACAACAGGTGGCTATTTAATGTCCACCTACTTCTTTCTAGCTCTTTGGTGTTTTAAACCAGGTGTGGCTAAGATGGTCTCCTTCTGGATATATGATCAGTACCTACTGTAAATGGAAAGTACTAAATCAGAAGCAATATAAAGTAAGATTTCTGATTTTCTGAGCAATTAGAATAACTTGTATGAAACTCAGAATGCATGAAATTCAGTTTACATCCATTGCTAATCTCCCCTCCTTTGTTTTGAGCTTGTGAAATAACTTAGTTTCATTTTATATCTCTATACCCAGAAATGATGGATACATATTCGTTTTTCTGAATTGCTTGCTTACCTAAGTGAGTGCCCTTGTCGTGGGCAAGGAATGTGTCCATCCTGTGGTATCCTTTCCCACATCAAATCAGTCAGAGTAACTGAAAATTAGGGAGATATTTAAGATTACCACCATCATTAAATATATCATTATATATATAACTATATGTGTGGATGTGTACACACCAACAAAAAACATTGGTATCTAAGTACGATTTCCAAATTTAAAGAAATGATTGTGATGTGAGTTCACACAGTTATTTCTCTCTAAGAAAAGCACGACTAGATGTTTCATTTGTAAGATCCACATTTTGATTATTATACTATGGTATATAAAAAGGCTGATTATTCTTATTTATAGGAGAAAATATCTTATTTCTGAAGAAACTGATGGCTGCTTCAGGAAAATATTAGAGAGGGAGGAGAGGAAATATTTCCACTATATATTTGGGGAATGAGTGGATAGTTTCACACATCATGCAGAGTCAAAATGTGGTTTCTTTGGTTTTGCTTTGCAATGTTGTAATAGTGCAGATAACTGTGGTTAGAAAACAATCCATAATAGCAAAATCAGAGTTTAATATCATTTGTGATGTTCAGTCTTTGCTGACATGCAGATACTCAATTAGGCAGTGATCCTATCAAGTTCTGTGACATTCAGAACATGTTTCATGAAATACTGAATAAAGAACATCAAACAATCAAATATTCAAGAAAAAATATTGGATCCACTTAGCAGAATACAGAGGCATCTGCAGACTACATTTTTTATTAAAATGATAAAAGCAGCATCATGTTGCTATGACACTATGTATGAATCCAATTGCTCTAAGGCATAATGTGTTTTAATTAGTCTACACTTGGCATTTATTCATTTAATTTTTGTATTACTTGATTCCTAACATGTTGCATTAATCTAGACATTATATTTACAAACCATGGTTTATGATTAAACATGATGTATTAATCCATGCATTAGAAATTTATTCAACAAATCTTGTTAAAACAATGTGAGTCCAGAGCCAAGTTGTTATAACAAATCAAGTAACCTCTCCCCCAAAAACCTGCAGAAGATACACTCTGCAACACAATCTATTTATTTTTGTACAACTTTTATATTAGGAGGGGCATACAGGGGAAACATTGCTCTCAAACTATTCCTTCTTCTATTGTTTACAATTAAAATCCCACTATTTTATAATGAGAACCCTTTTTCTGCATTACAAATAGCTGCTCTCATTACAGTGAAAGATGTGTATCTCCAAAGAGACAAATAAACTCCTGAACATGCTGTCTGCTAGAAAAGATGAATAGTATCTCACTTGTCAGCATGTAGAAGTCATTGAAATATGTTGGTTGATCATCCTGAGAAAGAAACAAAGAAAGAAAGAGATTGAAGTTGTTTTATTCAAAGGTCATCAATATTGTCATCTAGACAAGGAAAGATTTTAAAATTAAAGTGTAGCTTAACTCTCTCGAGTGTGTTGCATTAGAAATAGCCAAACAATTATCTAAACAGAACAGGCATATCTACGAGATATTAATAGACAATGACCAGAATGTTGTGATTCTTAAGCCCAGTGACAGGAGAGAGAAGATCTTATCAAATAGTAAAAAGTGCATGAAGCATGCAATTTATTACAGCTTGAGAACTGATGCCAAATAGTGATCAAATTAACAAGAGATAACAAAGAAAATTGGTACTTACAGAAGTATTATAAAAGGAGCAGCCCCCAAATATAAATGCTATATTTCCAGCCATTACCAATGCATGTCCATGTCTAAACAGTAAATCAAACAATGATAAATATTATGGGACACTTTCATAATATTGGTTTCACTGAAAAGAGAGACCAGCCATACTGCTATGCCTGCTTACTACAGATTCTCCCACAGAGATGAACAAGGTACTCAAACATGGCCCCAAGCAGTCTAAACTTATTCACAAAAGCCACAACTACAAACATTTATTCCCCCTCTTCTTTCCTGTGTGCCATCATCTCTCATGTTTCTCAAAGTGCTATTGGGTACCAGAGCAGAACAATGTAAGATTGAGGGTGCTGGAAGCAAGCTTTCTTTAACAGAGAAGCACATTTTTGCAATTCAAAATAGATAAATTGGCAATGATCATAACTCAGTGGGTCCTTTCCCGGCAATAAAGTCCTATAAATATGATGGGACTTTCTTTTTCATAAGCATATTTTAAATTAAGTCATATGAACTACTTTAAATTAAGTCATATGAACTACTGTAAAGATTTCCCAGAACTCTTTTTTTTAAAAGAGAAGAAAGCACTAAACCCACATATGGAGCCTGTATAATGCCTGGTTAGGTAGCATTTGTCCATGTGCTGTGTCTTTCTGACTGCCCAAGCCAAAATGATAACAGAGGGTAGGACTCAGCAACTGGAAGGGAGTGTTCTCCTCTGTAGTGTTGGATGGAAAATATAAAAAAGTATCATTGGCTGAAAAGGTTCTGCCTGTGTGATTCTGGAGAGGTGAAAACCACAGAACATGTTCCTCATTGCTCCTTTTACACAGACACTTGAACCAGATTTAACCTCCCTCTGATTAAAAGTTATCCTGGTTGCTCACTCAACTTATGCCAAAATGCTGCTCATAGATGAACTGCCTTTTGTGATAGCACATGTGGCTAAGGTTGCACAGCAGCATATAAGATCTGTTGGCCAAGTTCCCACTAGACAGACATATTCTATGTAATCTTAGATATTATCCTTTTTTGTAACTTTATATATTATCACATTCTACTTAAATTTTAGATACTATTACATTTTTTGTCTTTGGAGATTCTCAGTCAACCAGGTCATGGTTGGCCCAAAGGTGCTTTTTCAAAATGCAACTGGTCTTTCTTTGTTTGTCCAGAAAGTCCAGTTGCCTTTTGAAAAAGCACCTTTGGGATATCACATTTTTTTGTAATGTTAGATGTTTTAGATGATTCTATGTAATGTTAAATACTATTTTACACCTAGACATAAATTGCTCTTTTTGGACTCAAGGATTCTAGTCAGATTGTTTTATAAATGTATTTTAATTTAGTCTTCAATTTTATTTATTGTCTGTTAAGATAGACTTAACAGAGCACTCGTGGATACATTGCTTGTGCTGGTCTAAGACTGTAATGAACTAATTGAGTGACAAGATTGCCTGGAGGTGAGCATGTGCAAGTGAGCATGACTGGAGTAGGCATATGACCTAAAATGAACCATGGGACCAAGGCAGATTCCAGTCCTTGACCTTGTCATTTGCACCCTCATTAGCAAGATGTCATTTATGATGTCCACAGCAGAATTTGGGTCAGAGGAGGAGGAAAACTTTAAAACTAGAATACGGCAACCCTCAAATTATGACCATAACTGAGCCCTGGAAACATGGACTTAAATCATGATCATAAAGTAGGTCACAATGTGACTGGACCTGATTTTACCACTTTTTTGCAATTGTTGTTAATCAAATCCGTTGTCTGCTATGAGGCAGGTTTTGCCAGAAACTGTACATAAAAGCCAGTTTCTGGCAAAAATGCTATAAATCACAGTGATCTTACCGTGGGGCACTGCAAACAGCTGTAAATGGGGGCCAGTTGCCAAGCACCCAAAAGGCAGTGGTATGACCACAAGGGGAGGGGGAGGCAGCAGCAATGTTGGAACTTCAAAGCCAGGTCATAAGTAGATTTTTAAGGGTTCATTATAACGTCAAATGGTTGCTAAGCAATCAGCCATTAGATGAATGCAACTTTAAGCTGCCTCTGCAGCAGGCTGGGAATGAGTTGAAAGGCGCTATCACAGGGATAGGTCCACTAAAAACAGTTACAGTAGTGAGGCAGCTTTTTGCTGCAGTTCATGGGACATGAAGAGAATGCTTTGGGAAGGGAAAGTAACCTCAGTTCCCTTTCACACTGCTACCATCTCTTCTTGCCAAGCCCTCCAAAGCTGTGTGAGGAGGATCTGCAATCACTCACATCTATTAAAACCAGGAGCAAAAACTTGCAAGTATTCCCTGAACTTCTACAGACCCTGCAGTAATAACAAGAATAGGGAAAATAAACATACCCAGCAATGAAGAAAAGTAGATGAAATCACTTGCACATGATCCATGTAAATACCTTTCTATGTGTAAGCTTACTACGCATTTATTTGTCTGTCTGCACTAAAATAAAATTCTAGGTCCTTACGGGGAGGGAGCTGAAAATCCTTCGAGCAACTTTCCCTTGGAAGACAAAAGCAGAAAGGCCACAGGCCAGGAGTTAGAAGGTGGCTTGAGTTGGAGTTTCCACAAAGGAGGAAACAGATTGCCCACAGGCTTCAGAGAACTGAAGGTTCTCCAAAAATCAAACTTATTATAGTTTCACTACAATTTCAAAAACAGCACAGCTGACACAGAACTAAATTGGCTCAGCTGCTAAGGTTATATAATCACAAGGAACTGGAATCAATCTTACAGCAATATAAACTTTAGGAGGAGCTAGAAATTGTAGAGCATAAGTCATTTCTTTGTCTGCGTTTTTTTCCAGTTCAAAAATATCTTCTTTCACACACAAAGTCTTTCTCTATATCAGGGGTGTCACGGCCTGCGGGTTGGTTGTATCATGCGGAGGCTGCGCCCACCCCAGCTCCGACAATGGGAAAAAAGTCGCAATACATTGCAACACGTTACGTGACCCAGCGAGTTTGACACCAATGCTCTACATAATTCTCATTGGGAGAGGATAAAAGATGAGGCATTGATCTTAAGTCTCTGTTGATCATTGGTAAGTCTTACTATCAAGAGCAATGGCCTGTTATTTGGTTTCCATGATACGTTATGCATGGCTATCCCTTATTACGACTGTTCTCTTAGAATTAAGAATTGGGGTGGGAGTGCGGAAGCAGGGAGATTATTTAAATTTGGGGGGATCCCTAAGAAATTATTTAAGCCTTAGAAAAATATATCAGCAATAGGATGAAATATGTAAGAAATAAGTGCCTGTGATGACTACAACTAACATATCTGATATTTGGAAGAAGTTTCATATCACTTTATACTCAGTTTTATAAAATCATACTTATGTTACATAAACACACAAAACAATACTATATATTAATTATATATTAATACATATTATATAATATACAATATATGATATACAAAAATAAAATGTATAACTCTTATGCCCACTGAACAAGGATATTATGGAAACTATACTGGTGTGCACGCACATATACATGCTTTGTAGATATAACTATTAATCAAGAAAATCTACAAAACAGATTTCACATAGGCCAAGAATAGTTTTCTTGAGCTAACCACAGTCATACTATCAGATTTTTATTCCCAATAAACTTATTTATATATTAAATTCTAATCCAAGGTAGCCAAGAAAAAGGAATATAACAGTTCACTGAATATTTTAGTACTATATCTCAGTACAGAGATATAATGCAGAGATATAAATTAAGACTGTTTTCTTTTGTTTTTTTTTTAACCAGTATGCCATACCTAGGAGTTGGAGGATTTCCATGCACTTCCTTTTTACTCCAGTATCCACTTGCGAATGCCATTTAAGAAGGCTGTATTTGGGGAAGAAAATAATGGATTATTCTGACAGTATATAATGGAATTTCTGTTGGTGTTCACTAATAAATACTATGTCTGGGATGAGATCTGTCAATGTGTATTTGGAAAATGTTTCCACTAGGAAAAGTGAACAGGACTGACAAGTTCCTAGTTTAATTGAAAATTCATTCCAGGGATTGTTTCAATTTTTAGAAGCAACTTTTATATGGAAGAAAAGGAAGAGTAATGTCTTCCATATAAAGAGGTAGTTACAGTATGGGAGGGAAACAAATAAATCTTACTGCACATAGAAGAATCTTGGCTTTCATCCTCTATCTTCAGTTCAACTTTTACCAACATGATCCATTTGAATGTGTCTAAATGCAACTCACAAAACATCTACCTAGCATGACCAAAGGGAAATTCTGACAGGAAAATATGGCAGGGATAGACTTCAACATATCTAAACATCGTCAAGCAAAAAAGTATTATCGATTAACAGAGTATTATCGTATTCAGTAAAACTGATATAAGTAATGGTTCTGTTGCAATCTTCTCTGTAATTTGTTAGTTTAAGTTCTCCAATAATGACAAAGCATAAATAGAATTGAATCCCCTCCCCCGTTTATTTTTTTCTCTATATTCTACTCACCCCTCTGATTCTGTTTCTTTAGAAATGCAGGAATTAATGTCTGCAACTTCAGTAAGCCTCCCAATTTTAATTCCACCAATTTTATCAACCTCTTTACCTTCCCTGATTAACAGTTACTATGGTACCAACATACACAGATTGAAATGCACACCTTTATTGTCTTTATAATTCTGATTTATTTCCGGGTTATTTGAAGTCATGGCAACTCAAACAGACACTGACCTTAGTGTACACTCAATACTCTCATCATTCTGTCCTTCTCTAGCAAAAACCTATTGAATGTATGTATGGAAGGTTGCCATTAAAGCAACAGTAGACAATTTTTTAAGTAAAGGATCAATCTTACCTTTGCAAAGACTATAATCATGTACATATTTTCCTATAAGCAGCTGATACATATTCTGTATAGACACTATAAATGCACATAAAATGACGGGTAGTATTAACTGAGGATCAGACTGTAGAACTGTTGGTCCAATGAAGATAAATCTTTATAGGGCTTATAATAGAAGTTTTGTATCTGTCCATCTCTCTGTAACATACTTCTTCTACAGGTGAGCTTGTTTTATAACGAGGTCCTGGTAACTAACTTCCATTTGTTGTTCAATTGCTAATTCGTGTCTGATTCTTCACAACCCCATGGATCATAGCACAACAACCCCCTCTCCCCCTTCCACTATAACTAACTTCCAAAATGCCTCGTTATTGAAAATATTAAATAAAACTACTTGCAGTCGAGGTTTAGCAATATATGGAGGTTAAGTTGCCCATCTCCAATTTAAAATTATTTTCTTCCCCGACTTATCAATATTCTTGGATATGAAAATATATGGGTATGTATATGATGATGAGGATTTATATGTGTTTATCAAGGTACAAGTCAAACTACAGAAATATAAACCAATAAAAATAGTTCATGATTTACTAACCAAACCAATTGGATAGATATTTACAACATAGAGAAGCCAACTGTTGCAACTATACATATTAGCACCACCTTACAACAGAGAAATACATCCACATCAGTGGTGGGATTCAAATATGTGAACAACCGGTTCTCTGCATGGATGCCTGGGCAACAAAAAATTAGCTGCTAGTTCTTCTGAACTGGTGCGAACTGGCTGAATCCCACCACTGATCCACATCCATAGTTCTGTATAACTGTGGCCTGTAGTCCACCTTGTGCTTTCTTCAATGGGAAGAAGAAAACTAATCATACTATAAATTAGCCCAATGTATGAGTCAGGCTTCTATGACTGAAAAGAGAAGACATTTGTAAGCAATTTTTTTCTGTTGACTTTCCAAACAATCAAGTAATTAGAGTAAAATGTATGTATCTCTGTCCCATAAAGCCATATTTTGTTTCTAGCAGACTAATTTTGGCAAAACATATCTAGAAAAAAATCAAATTATTCCAAAGCAACTATGGTTCCTTTTTACTGGAAAGATAAAACAATGTTTGCTGTCATCCTAGTCCAAACACAACGCATCCATTCATCCTTCTATTTACTACATACAATTAATCACTGAAGACAGCAATTTCTTGCCTATCTCCCATGAAATTGTTCTTATCTTTACCCATCTCATGAATGAAAAAGGCTGAGGTCATAGTAATGGAGGCATAAGCAATGTTTTTCTGGCCTCAAGGCAAACTTCTCAGATGTGCCTCCCAATCTTAATATTAGCCACATTATACTACAATAAATAAAAGTGTACCCTGCAGAAAAGCTCAGCTCCTGGTAGGGGAACAAAGTGTGCTCCTACAGTAGTGTTCCAAGGTCTGTGAATGTAACTCTACTCAAATAATGTATAAGGATAAACAAAATAAACTAGGGAAAAACAAGCAGTATAGGCAGAAGGGACATTTCTTATTATGTGAAGGCACATTTTTATTTCTGGTCCTGGATTGGTCTGAATTTTTGACCAAAGCGGGGGGGGGGGGTTAAGCAAGATGCCTTGCCAATGCGTGAAATTATTTAGAAATTGACTTAAGGATGGAAATCATGTTTGGCACGCGAGCTAATGTAAAACTCTGGATTGATTAAGTTCCCAGCAGTCAGTGTTACCATAAACAGAAACACTTAAGCATATTGCTATTAGAGTTGCATTATTAGAGGCATCGGGTGCTAACTGCAATGACACACAAATGATGAAACATGCATCCTGGCCTAATGATACAAATGCCACTCTTAGTGCTTGCATGCAATGTGAGAAGGCCATGTTTAACAAGAAAAACATTGCATTAAGAGATGTTAAAATAGGGTGAAAGTAGATTGCTGTAATAGGTTTTCTCACCAAGTCCGATATCTATATACATGGTTTGGGAAAAAAAATGCAATATCTTTATGTCAGACTATAATACGAAAGCAATAAATATTATTGACGGCTGCCAATTTCTTGTATGAAATGACACTAAAAGAAGGTAGAAGTCCTAGTAAATGATACAGATGCTTCCTCATTTGTCCTTAACCACAGCATGGCCATACCCCAGCAACATCATGACTGCGTTCATTTCATGCCCTGCCCATATCTGAGGCAGCTTAAACTTCTAGAATATAAACTGGGAACAAAACCTATTCCTTACTAGCACTGATGGAACATTGGTAATAAAACGTCTGCAAGAAAACAACAAAGCTTACAGCACAGAGCACCCCTCAGCTTCTCCTTACCTGCTCCAATCATATTGTAGTGCTTTCTAATCACAACATGTTTGCTGTGAATAGTTTCAGGGATTGTGATCTACTTAGCTCTTATTGGCCACTTCTATCTACTGTGAGAACACTCCATTCCCTGTGGTTGTTGAGCTCTTCCTTCCGCGGTTTGGGTTGGATTGCAAGGCAGGCTCCTGGAGATGCATCTGTCCAAGCAATATCTGACTGCTGCTTTCAATAGTGCTTATCAGGTCTTACACAGCCTCCTTATATACAGGGTTAGAGATCTTGTAAGAGAGCATTGGACCTGTTTTTAAAAACTAGTTAATGTTTCTAAAAGAGTCTGATCCTGCCTTATACAGGCTGAGTTAACAGGAAAATGAAAGCCAGGTTCTGCTGCTATGTGTTACAGGCATTACAGGTTTTCTACAGTTTGGGCTGACAGTAGTTTTCTCATTTTTTAAAAAATTATTATTTCTGAGGGCCTTTGCAAAAATGCTATCACTCTGGTCAATGACCTAAGGCCAGGCTGACACTGCTGCAGTTTCCATGACTTTGTGCAGTGCTTCACAACTATTTACTTATTACTTTTCAGAGAATTAACAATATTATATCCCTCTTGGAGAGAGAGCGGGCATCACTGTGCCCGTTCCATACCAGCTTTATTAGCAGTAGGTGCTATGGTGATGACTACTGTTGTTACAAGTAAGCCACTCAGATTTGTGTGACTCAAGATGTCTGCTCTAAGATTCAAGTTCTCTTTGACTATTATCTAGCTACTTCTGGTTGCTGCTAGACTTGAGGTCAATTGCTTCTGCCTTAATGCCGTTTGGGCTGGATGCATCTTACCTGTCAGCAGTGCTGTTTCTCAATTTAGTCCGTTTTCAGAAAAGCATTATACAGAAACAGCTTGGATGACAGGTACAAGACACAAAGGCAAGCTCTACAGAAGATCAGGAACTCTTTTTTGCTTCACCTTGCATCCCGCTACCTCCCCTTAGCACTTGCCATAGGTGACATGGGTAATTGGAGAAATGCTAAACCTGCATTCAAAAATCAATTTAAATTCACCCAATCTCATCCTGCTTCATGTTAGGGAGAGAGATTGGTGGCTTTCCCGCTGGTAGATGATGCTTGTTAAAGAGAAATAAAGAGACTCTCTTTCCTGATTTCTGGACGTTTCTTCCTTGTCTGTAAGCAAAGCACCATTTGCTGGAATAACAATGGCAGAATAGGAAATGCCTGGAATTGATGGAATGGGGAAGGTGGTGGAATGAACAATTTATGCCTGCATACTTTCCTGCAGGTTCAAGAAGTGGTGGACACCATTATAGTTATAAGAGCTCTTAGTTAATTCTAAGAAAACAGCAATGTTCAAATTAATTCATAGTCCAAAGATATGTATCTACATAAGTAAATATAATTAATTTATTTGCATAGAACTATAGATTTATTTATGCTTACCTAAAGTAAGTCTTGATATAATCAAGATATTTCTATTCAGAATAAAGTGTTGAATCCATTGTTGGGGAAATAGCTTTATTTTTTAATATTACAAATGCTACAGGCATTTGTAATATTAAAGTCATAGAATGCCCAGAATGGAGTTCCGGCACCTTTTTTTGGCTGGAACCTTGTAGGGTAGGCAAGGTGGGTTGTATGACATGTGTGAGTTCGGCATCTTTTTTTTTTTACAAAAAAAAAAAAGGAATTGCTTTATTGTCTCAAAGGAAACAGCAGTATGATGCAGCTATGAATCCTAACCTTAACCCAGTTGTCCCATTGATTCCGTTTCTTAATAACAAAAACAGATAGTTGTATTTATTGCATCAATACACTGAATTACTGTTGAAGCAGTTTTTATTATTAGCAAACCTAGGCATCAAATGTATTATTGCTGAATATTAACATGCTCTGTTTGACTGTCAGATGCCCTTTTAAACTTTAGCAAGTCAATACAATTCAATAATAATTTTGGAATCCAAATTCCTTCTTTGCCATGTTAATGGCAATTTCTGACCACACAGTACAGCAAATCAGTTAATATCATGACAGAATTAAAAAAAATAAATGTTACTGAATCAGCCTTGCCATTTTATGCTTTGAAGACAGGTATCAAGAAGAATCCAACCTGACATGGAGGAGGGATGAGCTAGAGTCAGTGCTACTGTAAAAGGGCTGGAACTGGTTTTTCCTGAATTCCTTGGAGCCTCATCTAACTGTTCCCAAGAATAGGCTGCCAGATGCGGGAGATTTCTGTATTATAGGCAGTACATAATAGTTAATTCAAGCTCTGCACATGCGGGGGTCTGGTTGTTCATGCCTGAGAACAGTTCCTTCAAAATCATTATTTTTTTAAAAAAACAAATAACTTATGTTTTTAATCGCTACTAATTGCAAAAAGAGTTAAATAAGAGCAAACCTAAGGCAATGTTTAGATAGCACAATTCTAGGAAATCCAGGAATAAAACTGCCTTCAGCAAAATTCCTTCAGTATTGTTGTTAAGAAAAAATTATGAATGTGCCATAAATTTCAAGGAATGGAGAAAGACTGAAGAAAGTCTTTAGTAAGAGTTAACAAGGAGTCCTTGATTTACAGCCATTCATCTAGCAATCATTCAGTCACATCAATGAAGATAGTGACTTACAATTGGTTCTTGCACTTATCACAATTGCAACAGTCCCATGATCACATAATCTAAGTTTGGGTGCTTGGCAACCACCATGTATCTACAATGGTTGCAGCATCCCAGGGTCACGTGATATCCATTTACAACTTTCCCAAGCTGGCTTCCAAGAAGCATAGCCAATGGGAAAAGCTGGATTTGCTTAATAACCACATGATTCACTTAACCATGGCAAAAAATATTATAAAATCAGGCATGATTCATTTAACAACGGACTTGCTTTGCAATGGAAATTCTGGTCCTAGCTATGATTGTAAATTGAGGTCTTACCTGTACACAACTAATTAATAAGCAATAAATTTCAGTATAGCTAAAAATGTAACCGAATAGTGAAGCATCTTGCATCTTACTCCCAATACTTTGTTTACAACAATTATCTTTGACGTGCCTTATGTAATAATAAAAAAATAGTATTGATTTAATAATTTTACATACAGTGCCTTATAGGCTTGTAATGCTATAAAAAATAAAAAGTAAAGCCAATAATGAAAATACATCGAAACAGTATTTAAAAATACACTCAGTACACCTAAACGTGTACAAATAGAGAATGTGAGTACCACGGCATCTTTCTCACTTAGCAAGGGAGGAAAGGTGCAATACATAAAAAAATAAAATGGTGAAAACACCTAATTATTGTCTGAAATTAAGCACACGGAATAAACCGCCAAGATCTCGCTATCCCCGCCCTCCGGGAGATAAACCCCGCCCACGTTGCCTATTGCATTGTATGATTAGCCGCTCCACTTGGCGGAAGCCCCGCCTTCTCCTTATGTGACGTATTTTCCGGTGGGGTGTGGCTTTGGGCGGCCGTCCCCGTGATCCCGGGCAAGCAGGAGGGCGCTTTAGAGAAGCGGGGAGGGGCGCTGCAGCCGAAAGTTGCCGCGGCGCCCTGAGCTTCTCCTTCTCCCGCTGGTTTTTTTTTTTTCCGCCCGCGCATCGCCTGGCCCTTGAGACGGTGGCAGCGAATGAAGGAGCCGGCGGGAGGCCGCCCGGAGCCCCTGCTTCGCCGCCGCTTCCTCCGCCTAGGCAAGATGGGAGCGAAATGAGGCCCGAGCCGAAGCGGCCACCGTCTCCTCCTCCTCCAACCCCGGGTCGGGAAGCGGAGGTGGTGGCCTTGACAGTGGCGGCGGTGGTGGAGAGCGAAGCAGCGGCCCCCGGAGCGAGCGGCGGCGGCGGCAGAAAGTGCGGCAGCCGAATCATGCTGGTCAGGAGAATCGGGTTCAAGCCGGGCGGAGGCGCCTCGGTGAGTGTCTGCGAAGAGACTCCTTCCCTTCCCGCGGCTTCCGCCCGCTGAGGCTCCGGGGAGCTCTGGCCGTCCGGGGGCGGGGGGGATGCTGCGAGTCCCGGGGCGATCGCCCTGCTCGTGGGAGGGGGATGTCGGCCGAGTTCAACGTTGAGAAGCTGCAGCCGGGTGGTGGTGGGGTGGGAGAGGCTGCTCTTTCTCTTTCTCCCCTTCTTCTGCTTTTGGGCCTGCTTGTCTCTGGAATGGTTGCAAGGGCAAGAAAGAGTTTTCCTTCCTCCCCTGTAAAGCCCTGGGGCTGATGGGGTGGGTGGGTGGGTGAAGGTGACAGCTTGGTTGGAAGAGGTCTGCTGCTGCTGCTGCTGGAGTTCTCCTTTAAGCCCATCCCATTTGTTTCAGGAGATCTTGCGGAAAACGCTTTCAGTTTCGAAAGGTTCGCTTTCGGTTTCAGGAAGCTGAACAGAGCGTTTTGCATTTAAAAAAAAAGATCTGGGATGAAGTTCGTAACTTTGGGAGGGGGACAGGACGTGTCTTAGGGATTTTGATAGCATGCCATGGATGGATGGATGGATGGATGGATAGATGGATGATGTGCCATCAAGTCGTTTTTCTTCAAATGGCCCCATAGTTTTTCTCCATGACAACCCATCCCTATATAACCTGGGCTTTCACGTCTTCCAGTGATGCACCCATCACAACTATAACAGTCCATCCACCTTGCTGCTGGTCATCCTGTTCTTTCTCTTCCCACCTTTCCCAGCATTAGAGCCTCTTCCATAGAGCGTGGGTCAGGCCACAGATACTTATACAAATTTGTCTTTGCGATTTTCATCATAAAATAGCTCCATGGTGGGATCCAATGCTCTCCAAAAGCAAATTTGTATATATCTTCCTGCCACTCCTCTAATTGCAACCCTGTTCATTACACCACTGATCAAATTACAACAATCATCTCTATACGTTTGGGTTAAGTTTTCCCTAATATATGAATGGAAATCTAGATAAGAGTGGTCTATGATCTCTTGCTAGTTTTGCTTTCTAAGAATGCTGTGGTTAGCACACATAAAGAAAATTGAAAAATAAGAATCGTACTCGGAGAATGATACAATAATTACTTTACCATAAAACAAGATCTTGCAGCTATTTATATTATACAATATATTAGTGAATTAGGTAAATATGAAAGTATCTTATGTGTTTGTGTGTTAATAAAATCTTGGTTACCTGATGGACTCTCAGTATTTTGAAAATGGCAGAGTAGGCCTTCTACTAGCAATTTACATTAAATTATTAATTTTTATAAACTTTAGAAGCATTAAATACAAAACAGTTAAATAAGGAGCAATAATTTTCACTTCTCATGCATCCTCAGTAACTGTTCTGGAGAATCCCTCAAGTGCATTGTGGATTGTTTTTAATTCTTATAGATATTTGTTACATTTTGATTAAATATTTGTTGTATATATCAATGCTTTTTTGGTAAGTTTTATTATTTGGTTGTTAGTTCGCTGACATGTTTAGAGATAAGTGGAATACAAATGTCTGTAAATAGGGCATCATGATAAAATGTTGGTAATACATAGGATTCTAAAGTGTGAAGGAAGACATTTTATTATGTAAAATCTGTTCAGATATATTGTGTTTTTGAATTGTCATTAAACGGGGAAAGAGATTTTACAGACAGATGCAAGCTAAGGATGTTATCTTTATAAACTGAAATTGTGACATTTTTGCCATCCCTTCATTCATAAGTGGCCATCTTGGAAGGGTTGCAACAAGGCATCTACAGAATCAGAACATCTTTTGCTTCATACAATGGCAAGCATAACTCCCCACAAAACCTATTATGAAAAACCAAAAGTTTCTGTCGCTTTTAATATATAAATTGTTGTTACAGAAATAAATCTTTAAGTTTTGTATATTATTAATATTGCTTTTTTTTTTAAATTAACAGCAAGGTATTGGCCGACCAAGTGTCTACCATGCTGTTATTGTGATCTTCCTTGAGTTTTTTGCTTGGGGGCTTCTCACAACACCCATGCTCACGGTAAGTTTGCAGATCCCATCAGCTGCAACCTCATTGGCATTTTTCTTGTGGAAGGAACCTTTCTTTTCTCTGCTGGTCGGAAGAAATGCCTTTTCTCAAAGCTGTTTTGTGGCTAACAGGGACTTTCAACAAATAGGGCTTCAAAGGCTATGAGCCACATTGTGGATTTCAGGAGAGGTGGGAAATCTTCATAGGTGTCTGGAAGAACACAGAAACTTATCAGGAATCCAAAACACATCCAGGAATTAGGCTATTCCAGACTGGACGTCAGTTGTGCTTGCCTTGCCACCCAATGCAGAGAGAACATAAATTTCTTGAAACAAAATCCAAGGCAGTTACCAATATAAGAAGCATATCTTAAAAAAATCTGTGATAAGTTAGCAGGATTTTGGAGAAATAAAATATGTTAAATTTTATACTGGAAAGCAGGAATTTTCTTAATTAAAATACTAGCTTTGCATCATTAGATAAAATTAATATACCAGTTTTGTACCATTAGATATGGAACTTTGGGTTCCAAGGCAATTCTCATCTACTCCAAGGCTGGTATTTAACTATGTATGTGAATGCTGCTAGTGTCTCATTGCTTAGAACAAAGAACACTCTCATAATTGTTTACTTCTTTTAGGCAATACATTTTTTCTATCATTGCTATAAAACCTTTAGTTCTACTTACTGTCAATTGTGTTCTTATTTGCTGAGATACTATAGTACTTAAAATATAGTAGTGATAGGGTTTTAATTATAATTTATGAAAGTCAGGTAACACTGTTCTTGTCAAAACCCATCCATTCATGGGTATCAATTCCCTATAGGTTGAAGGTCAGCTGAGTTTTGGGAATGGCTTGTCAGCTTGCACGTAAGAATTGTTCTCAAACTGAGAAGGCATTCTATGTAATGAACATTTTAATTTCTTTTCCTGTGCTGCTTGGAACGAGTGTTTTCAATATACACGATACCCAAAGCAAATTCTGCATTTTTTCCCCTTCCTTTCTCACAACCAAAATAGCTGTTGCCATGTCTGTTATAAGAAGATTGTGGGAGAGATGCAGATACATCTCATACTGATGTTCTATAGCTTGTGATACATTTGTATCACATTTCATGCAACTGGAAATGTGCATATAATTATCCTTTTTGTTGTCTTATTCTACATATAATGTATAACCTTAATATTGCAGTTGTTTAAACATTAATAAGTTAAGTATTTGCAAGACCGCCTACTACCTCATAGTTCCCTTCGTCCGGTTAGATCCCACAGGCTGGGCCTCCTTCATGTCCCGTCGGCCAAGCAGTGCCATTTGGCGGGGCCGCGGAGGAGGGCTTTCTCTGTGATGGCGCTCACATCTTGGAACCAGCTCCCCCCCGGAGATTAGGACCGCTCCCACCCTGTTGGTTTTCTGTAAGCTGCTTAAGACCTGGCTTTTCCGGCAGGCCTGGGGTTTATAAAATCTGACCCCTGGATGACTGTTATTGGACTGTTTGTTTTGTTATGTTTTATGGTGTTTTTATTGTTAGCCGCCCAGAGTCCTCTGGGAGTGGGGCGGCTTATAAATTTTAAGAATAAATAAATAAGAATAAATATAAATAATATCAGTTTCAGCAACTACTGAAGATATGCTTTTTGGTCTGGAATATTTAATTATGATGGAGCATATGGCTATAATTATTTCTTTAATGGAGGTAGTGATGACTTAATCTGTTAGTTTGGTCCTAGATTTGTGTTCAGTGACGTTTAGCTCAGGAGGAAAGGATTTAGGGGGCAAATTTCTTTAATCTTCAATTCACATTATTGTTCTCAACAACTTCTCCATATTCTGGAGGGCTAGATTAATAATGGTGAGGACTTAGAAGAAGTGCTACTCAAAAACTTGCTGTATTCCCCTCCTATATCTTTGTGTTTCTGTTAGTTTGCAGTTCCCTTCATGAATGTTCTCATGAAGGAGTCTTTGGTTTTGCAGTTATTAAATATGCATTTTCTTAAATTGAGAAATTAGTTTTGAAATGAAATATTTTTCTTATAGGTCTTACATAAAACATTTCCTCAGCATACATTTCTAATGAATGGTCTCATTCAAGGTGTTAAGGTAAGAATATTTTAAGCATTATTATCACATTGATTAACAGAATAGCAATTCTAAATTGGAAATATTACATGATTTATAGTTATAAAAAGGCAGGTACAGGTATAAACACTTTTTTTAAAAAAAAGTAGTTATGTAATTAAAGTTGTGTATATTCCTAAGTATATGTAAGACCAGTTGAACTTAGCAGGCCTTAATTCTCAATGGTTAAAGCTGCACTGATACTTACTAAATTTTAAAAAATGAAGCAATAAAACATCTAAATGAAATTAACAGCATATCAGTTTGATAAATAATCTGACCTCAGCAATTGATTTGTGTGAAATAAGGATGGAGTTTAAACCAGTTTTTGCATTTGTGAACTGTGGCTTGAAAACTTAGTGTCAATAATAGAAGAGCACATGCAAAATGGACAAAGGCGTGCACTAATATTAGCTTAAAAACCAATATAATCAACAGTACAATGTTTGCACCACAACATTAGCAACTATATACCCCTTTTGCATTTGCCTTCATAGATACCTGCCTGCAAAAAGCACACTCTAGAACGGGGGTCTCCAACCCACGGGCTGCAATACTGTACCAGTCCACGGTCTGTGCAAGTAGGCGAAGCTTTATCCGCACATGTGTGGAATCTAGGTAGTGCACAAAACCAACCCCTGGTCTGTGGAAAAATTATTTTCCACAAAACCAGTTCCTGGTACCAAAAAGGTTGGGGACTGCTGATCTACAACATATTTTAACACTTGCAACATGACTGCTAACATTCCAAAGGGCAATAATCTATATGCTACTAAAACTCTTGTTCCCATAACCTTTAGCTAGGTGAAATGGTGCATCATAGGGCAACAGCTTTCGAATCAAGGTACTTCAAACGGACTAACTTACAGGGTGTGTCCAAGATCCATGACTGACCTATGGCATTGAAATTTGGCAAATTTTATAAAACATTTGGTCATAAAATTATCATAAAACAGTTGATGACATTATACAAAGTGTCATAAAACATCCCCCATGCTGGTGTTTGTGCCATACTATACAGTTCAATATGGCCTACTTTCAAGGCAGAAATGTATCCCAACTTTTCCAGTGAAGGCAGTACATTAGAAGTTCTGTCATTGGTGAAGGCATTGAAGACTACTGCAATGCGCTCTACATGGGGCTACCCTTGAAAAATATTCGGAGACTACAGTTGGTCCAGAATGCAGCCGCGCGAGTGATAGTGGGTGCTCCTCGATACACCCACATTACACCTATCCTCCGTGAGCTGCACTGGTTGCCTATTGGTCTCCGGGTCCAATTCAAGGTGTTGGTCATTACCTTTAAAGCCCTATATGGCTCAGGGCCAGGCTATTTGCGAGACCGCCTACTACCTCATAGTTCCCTACGTCCGGTTAGATCCCACAGGCTGGGCTCCTTTGGGCCCCGTCGGCCAAGCAGTGCCATTTGGCGGGGCCGCGGAGGAGGGCCTTCTCTGTGATGGCGCCCACGCTTTGGAATCAGCTCCCCCCGGAGATTAGGACCGCTCCCACCCTGTTGGTCTTCCGTAAGCTACTTAAGACCTGGCTTTTCCGGCAGGCCTGGGGTTTATAAAACCTTACCCCTGGATGATTGTTTTTGTATTGTTGTTTGTTATGTTTTGTGTGTTTTTTATTGTTAGCCGCCCAGAGTCCTTCGGGAATGGGGCAGCTTATAAATTTTAAAAATAAAATAAATAAAATAATAAAATAAAGAATCTGGTAAAGAAATATTTTTGAGAGGATGATTCAACAGATTGCAGGTTGCCTAGTTTGTATAAAAATGTAGCACTATGTCTGATCTAGAAGAACCCCTGATTGGGATCATATGGTTGGATAACTGCTGACTTTTTCTTATTCCTTTCCTCATTATCTCTATCCAATATTACTAGCAGCAGAGTTGGAACCAGATCATGTTGCAGTATTGGCTAGGCCAGAAACATTTGGTTTGGGAGTTGACAGTTGTATTTTGAAAAATATTTTATTAGTCATGCAGTTAGAAAAGCTGAAGTGCTTGAAGAAACATTGCTCAAAATGATCTGATTTTGTTCTAAGAAAAGCCAAAATATTTTCATCCTCAGAGCAAATATGCAGATAGTCGTCACGTAGTGAACTGATTGTCCAGTTGCTAAACACTAGGGTTGCTAAGAGAAATATCACATAACCACAATGGACTTACAATGTCACTTTCCATTTGGTCCATTAAGTGAATCATATGGTTGTTAAGTAAAACATCATATGACCACAACATGCAGTTTTACTTCTGCGTTCTCTGTTAAATCTATTTATTGCCAGATGGCTGGGGAGCATGCAGATGATGATTATGTGTCTGCGGGATGCTGTGACAATTGTTACAGTTTTCTGGTCACAAAGTGCCCAAATGATTTAAATGAGGCATTTGGTAAATGAGGACTTACCTGTACAGATCTTTTTATAGAGATCTTTTTGTTTCAGACTGCTTGACTTGAGATACTTTGAGCTTACAAGAGGTGTTCTGTAGTTGGTGAAAAAATAAAGACCTTGGGGAAACTGGGGGCTAGGATTAGTTTCACTGACTAAGTTGGGCATTTGTGATGCATTGGAGGCACACCAGATGATTTGGAGAGTAGTTCTGGAGACAGCGGAATAAAAGTGAATCAAGGACAGCCTTTGCTTCTTCCTCTTCTAATGGATTCACAGTTATGCGAATTAGTCATGCTGGCTGAGGAATTCTGGGAGTTGAAGTCCACAAGTCATAAAAGAGGCAGGTTTGAAGACCCCTGATATATACTTTTACCTAGTGAACACTCAAGAGATGGAGGGAGGCAGAGATAGTAGAAATGAGCTAGCCCAATGGAATTTTCTTTTCAAATACATTTTCAATATTATGTTCCAGTATTAAAAATCAGATCAATATCAGAAACTGCTGAAATATATGTGAAATAATCTTCTTTGGTATATAGCAGTGGTTCTCAACCTTTTTAATGCCGCAACCCCCAACCGGTTGTAAGTCGAGGGCTACTCAACCGGTCGTAAGTCGAGGACTACTCAACTGATGCAGCACCATTTGCAGAATGGGACTTTTGGCGGGCTCAGCAGGGCAGAGACAGCCTGGACAATTCCTATTGGCTTTTGAAAGCCAATAGAATTAGACTCTAGTCAAGAGAGTCTATTCTATTGGCTTTCAAAAGCCAATAGAATAAAAGGGAATAGCACAGCTAAGGAAAAGGGAAAAAAATGGCGGACTGCATTGTTTGGCGACCCCCGTGAAATGGTCGTTCGACCCCAAATGGGGTCCCGACCCACAGGTTGAGAACAACTAGTATATAGCATGAGTTTTATAATTCTCTAGATACTGACCAACATTTCACTGTTTCATCTACCAGTCTAATTTTTTCTGTTTTAGTCTTCCTTTACTTCAAAGTGACTTGTAGATTATCAAACATTTATGACATAAGGTGTTATGGGTTGGAATATTACAGCTAATTTGCAGATTAAAAGGCTATGTAAGGACAGTTTACCTTGAAAGATCAAATACATACACCATTCTGTTTCTGTGGCACTTTCATTAAATTGATCAGTTGGAGAATAGCTGTGCCTGTTTTTTGTTGGAACTACTTTTACACCTAAGGAAGATTTTCTGTGCTCACCTGAAGTAGCTCATCAGTTAAATTATTCCTTGGAGACTCTTTTATCCAAGTGTTGTGACCTTCATCAACTTTAGCGGTGCCTGAGTTAAGGAATTCTATGCAAAATTAACTATCTTTTATGTATGGGGCCAAGCCCGTGTGGTTTGTTCTTTTTTAAACATTACTAAAGATTATAATATAATAATGGAAAGTAATATAAACTAAAAGAAAAATATGATAGTTTGCTGTGTTTTTCACAGCGCTGTCTTCAGTTCACAATTCTTCTGTGAGCCCCGCAATCCTGGTTTTTCGAAGCAATAATGTCGTAAGATAAATTCTAGGGAAAATTTTCCCCTTCTCAAATTAACTCTCACTGAGTTCTAGTAAAAGGTTTGTGAAATTGCTTTTTACTAAATTTACTCTCTTTGAGTTTTGTGCTTTACGTCACTTGCCAATATGTGTGTATGAATGATGAACTGAATATTATATGCAATACTGGCTGCAGAAAAACCAGGCAAATCTGATCTTAGAATCATAATATTGGAACAGGGCATTTAAACTATTAAGTTCAATGTTCAGTGCTGGTGGCTAAATTAAAGCATGCCAAACAGATACCAGTCTAGCCTGTTGTTGAATACGTACTGTGAAGAATAATCTATCACCACATTGAATAGTGAGTTTCATTGTCCAATGCTGCTGCTGCTATTGCTCCTCCTCCTCCTCTTATTCCTTTCTTTCTTCTTTTCTCTCCTTCCTCCTCCTCCTCTTCCTCCTCTTCCTCCTCTTCCTCCTCCTCCTCCTCCTCCTCCTCCTCCTCCTCTTCCTCTTCCCATTCAGTTGGAATCTGTCTTACAACTTAAATGCATGATTCTGTGTCATGCACAGAATAAGAGAGAATAGGCCTTGGACCTTCTGTGTGGCATTCTTTCAGAACATATCTACCTAAAATAGCCTGTTTGTCAAATGTTTTGCTTGAAGTAATTTACAACATTCCCATAATCAAAGAGGTTGCTGAGATTTGTTCATAATGGATCTGTGCTGACTTCTAATAATTTCTAAAAGCAGTATCACAATAGAAACAGGAGAACTTGCACTGTGTGGTCATCTACTTTAAAAATTCAAACAAATTAAGCTGGGGGGGGGCTGTTAAAAAAATAAGTAGTGAAGACAAGTAAATCACTATTAATCTGATCTACTCACACTGTTTAACAAAAAGACATAGGTTTTTGGATTTTTCGGAGACATTAAGTTATAATAATAGAGTTTAATTACTGGTTTCTTTGTAAAGCCTTCCTTTTTAAAACTGATTTGCCTTTGCTCTTATTAGCTACAGTATTTGTGGCTGGAGTCCTTTGACCAAGCATTTCTTAAACTGCATTTTTTGCAAATATATAGAGCAAATAAAAAGGTTTAAATGAAATTAATTTGCAGACGACACCAAGCTGGCAGGAATAGCCAACTCTCCAGAAGATAGGCTTAAGATATAGAAGGATCTTGACAGACTTGAACATTGGGCGCTATCTAACAAAATGAAATTCAATGGTGAAAAAAGTAAGGTTCTACATTTAGGCAAGAAAAACCAAATGCACAGGTATAATATAGTAGTAACTGTGAGAGGGATCTTGGAATCCTAGTGGACAATCACTTAAATATGAGCCAGCAGTGTGCTGCAGCTGCCAAAAAAGCCAACACTGTGCTAGGCTGCATTAACGGGGATGGAATCAAGATCATGTGAAGTGTTAATACTATTTTACAATGCCTTGGTAAGGCCACATTTGGATTGCTGCATCCAGTTTTGGTCACCACGATGTAAAAAAGATGTTGAGACGCTAGAAAGAGTACAGAGAAGAGCAACAAAGATGATCAGGGGACTGGAGGCTAAAACATATAAGGAACAGTTGCTGGAATTGGGATGTCTAGTTTAATGAAGAGAAGGACGAGGGAGGACATGGAAGTAGTGTTCCAATATCTCAGGGGCTGCCACAAAGAGGAGGGAGTCAAGCTATTTTCCAAGGAGCCTGAAGGCAGGACAAGAAGCAACAGATGGAAACTAACCAAGGAGAAAAGCAACCTAGAACTAAGGAGAAATTTCCTGACAATTAGAACAATTAATCAGTGGAACAGCCTGCCTTCAGAAGCAGTGAATGCTCCAATACTGGAAGTTTTTAAGAAGAGACTGGACAGCCATTTGCCTGAAATGGTATAGAGTTTCCTGCCTGAGCAGGGGGTTGGACTAGATGACCTCCAAGGTCCCTTCCAACATTATGATGATGATGATGTCCTTGCAAATATGGTTAGCATTCAATAATTTGAATACTTTTTAAAAATTCATAAAGATGTTGAAGCTTTCATATAATAAAAATATATTTTGGTCGAAAATAATTCTCTGAATTCCATGAAATAATCACAGTAAATCCGTGTTAACATTTAAAATTATGACATTTACTAATCTCAAACTGTCATCTGTACTTCATGAGAATATATCTAGTTTCTGGTAACATAAAGGTGATATTGCACTTATCCCAACTATGGGCAATGTCAATCACTATAGAAACATAATTCTAGGGTAGTAAGATGTTTGGTTTTATACTATATATCAGGGGTGTCAAACTCAGTTTCATTGAGGGCCACATCAGCATTGCGGTTGCCCTTGGGGGGGGGTATGTGTGGCCACGGTGTGTGTGTGGCCTACTGGGTGGGTGTGGATGGAGTGGGTGTGGCCTATTGGGTGGGCATGGCCAGCTCTACTTCGTTCGATTCAAGGATGCCTGTGGGAGCCTGGGCAGGAGTAGGACAGATCTGAGTGTCTCTGGCAAAAGGGGGTAGGACCGGGGCAAGTGCCAAGGCATGGTCCACTGGAGGAGCCTCACTGCCTGCTGAAACCCCTCCCCCGGAGCCAATCAAGCCGGATAGGTGAAGTAGGTGAGGGCCATTTGCTGGCCACTTCCAGGCGATGGTGCATTTCTTCATTCCTCACAAAGGGTGACACCTCCCCAGTATGCTCCAGGGGGCAGGGTGACACGGCAGGGCTGTTTCCTCGCTGTTTCCAGATGGCCTTGAGCTAAGGCTGAATGCATTTCAGCATAGATGGCCATCACAAAATTGTACATTGGCTTCCTCCCGGCCGGCTAGGGCCAAGGCAGCAGGGGCCATTCCCTTACTGTTTCCAGGATGGCTTTGTGGGCCATTTGAAACCACTTCGCGGGCTGCATCTGGCCCCCGGGCCTTGTGTTTGACATCTCTGCTATATAACATATTCTTAGCTTTTTATTTTGCTTTGATCTACCCTTTGAAATGACTTTGTGCTTCTAGCAATCTATAGTCATTGTGACCTTTTGTATATTATAATATAATCTCTGTCTGATGGAAACTGCATTCTTCATTTTATTGAGATGGACGCTCAAATATATTACAATGAACAATTCACCCATTTGTTTAGCAACTTTCACTTTTGCCATTGCTATGGAAACAATCTTCCCTTGTAGCTTGAGAGTTTTATTGGATTTCAAAAGTATGACACTCATGTTTGGAACTTATGCAGCTTCACTGGCTTGCTGTATGTGCATGTGTACGTGTGTTTTAAAGAAAATGGTTTATTTCTATAACTCGTTAGTTTAAATTATGCTTTATCAATAAATGCATTTTACAGTCGCTATGTTACTGGAAACAATATTAAAATCATTACCATTTTGTTCTTAGGGTATTTTATCCTTCATGAGTGCTCCACTGATAGGTGCTTTGTCTGATGTCTGGGGAAGAAAATATTTCCTCCTTATTACAGTTTTCTTCACTTGTGTCCCTATTCCATTAATGAAGATAAGTCCATGGTAAGTGTGGCATAAATATGTGGGTATTTCAGTGGGGGGAAGGCTTGGGGTAAAGGGACTATATTAAGAAATCTATTAAACTTTCTTGCTTCTGTGTCAAAGTGAGCCAGTATAAGCCTTTTATGTACACTCTAAGTACGTTTGGCAAAGGAATCACTAAACATGGATGGAATATAAATCTTAACTGATAAATAATCTAAAAGTTTGCTTTTCTTCGATATGTTTACAGTTTTTTATGTAGCTGCAATACATAAACATGGCTCTGATTTTGCAGGTGGTATTTCGCAATGATTTCTGTATCTGGGATTTTTGCTGTTACGTTCTCTGTAATATTTGCATATGTAGCTGATATAACTCAAGAACACGAGAGAAGCACTGCTTATGGATTGGTAAGAATGTTTCTTAATAATTCTTTGACACAAAATGTACTTTGGTTTATTGGGTATCATGTCAGCATTCCCTAATTTCTGATTTTTTAAAAAATGTGATATTGCTTAAAAGTAAAATTTGAAGCTGTTTTTTAAGAAATTATAGTAGCTCTATTAATATACATGATGTCTAATGGAGAACAAAAAAAAAAAATCTTGTATACAGCATCCTCAAGAATAAACTAGTCCATTAAATAGGAAGAAGGTTTGTCAGCCCCACAAGGTAGACCAGACCAAGAATTCAATTCTGACATGATTCCTTTCTTCATCTTAACAATTTATAAAAAGAGGATAATCTCCTAATTAATTTATTATGCATCCTTTGAAGACAAATTTTCTTATCTTGGATCTTTCATGAGTGAAGAAATGCTAGGATAATAATGATTGTTTCAGAATGACTCTCCAGTAGATTTCTATATAAAAACTGATTCTTAACTGGCCAGTTCATGGAAACTTATCTTTATTTAATCAGTAAATTAAACCATTGGTTTATTTATTTATTTATTTATGAGACTTATATACCGCTTTAAGTGCAAGCACTCTCTAAGCGGTGTACACCAGTAAGCAATGTATATATATATATATTTACATTGCCCCCAACAATCTGGGTCCACATTTTACCTACCTCGGAAGGATGGAAGGCTGAGTCAACCTTGAGCCGGTGAGATTTGAACCGCTGACCTGCTGAAAACAGTCAGCTAAAGTGGCCTGCAGTACTGCACTCTAACTGCTGCGCCACCTTGGCTCATGGTTTAATTTTTTGCAAATGTTAGCATAAAATCTATTAAAATGCTTTTCTTTCGCACACTGGAATACTTTTTAATATAGATGACGGTTAAAGTAAGTGAATACAGGATTCAATTTATGGGTTGTGGGAGTAGCTATGTTAGTTGGATATAGCAGAAGCAACAAAGCGCTGTTCAGTGCTTAAATAACTGACAGTATTAAATGAAGCACAATCTTTTGTGAACTACAATTTCTGTCATGACATGTATGAAGCACTGTCTTCTGATAAGAGGGGTAGGAATATAACCATATCAATAGAGAATGAACAAGGAGGTTAGCGATGATGATCATGATTTGGGAGCTTAGCAACTGGCTAGCAATTATGGTGTTGAAGCATCCTAAGGTCATATGATCACCATTTATGAACTTTGCTGCTGGCTTCCAACAAGCCAAGGCAATAGGGAAGCTGTCAGGAGGTTGCAAATGGTGATCACATCACCATGGGATGTTGTTACTGCATGGGATTCTTCTAGAAATGGCAACTGAAACTCCTTACCACTTTATACAGTGGGACGATCAAAAGCATCCTGTCATACAGCATCACAGCCTGGTTTAGAAGCATCACTGCTTCAGATAGGAAGGCGATGCAGAGAGTGGTGACGATGGCTGAAAAGATTATTGGCAGTTCCTTCCCTTCCATCCAGGAGATAGCACATAAGTGTTGCTTGAGCAGGGTCCATAGGATTGTCTGGGAAACTACACATCCTCTTCACAACCTGTTTTCCTTGTTATCTTATGGGAGGAGGCTTCGTGGTATCCGAAGCAGAACATCCAGATTCAGTCACGGTTTTGTTCCATACAGTATTAACCTTGTGAATTCTAAAGCTTCCTCCTTCTGTTATGTATTCAAGATAGACAGTGATTAATATTTATATGTTACTTATATGTAAGGGTGTAGGTCTATACATATGTTGTATATAGTATGTTTAAATGTGTATTATGTATGTTGAGAGCAAGCAAATGTGTATTATGTATGTTGAGAGCAAGCAACTAAATTTCATTTTTAATGTGTGCCATTGTGCGTACAGTACATGTCAGGAGCACCTAAGCACTTCTAGGTTGAAAGGATTGAATGACGACATCACTGTTGCCCAGAGGATGCCTAGTTGGGGGCTTCTTTCATGTCCCCATTAAAAAAGGGATAATGTTTAAAAAACATTTTTTTTAAAATTTAAGCCACACTATTTTATTTGAAGATAAAAATAGAAAATAACTTCTATTTTTTGGGAATCTAAAAGTTGTTATAAGGTTCAGCAATATAATTGCAATATTGTGATAGGATTGGAAAATAAATTAAAGAAATGGAAAATTGATGGAATTATTCCAGCTAAAAGAGTCACATGATAGACTAATGAAAAAGAGGATTTAAGTAAATGAAGAAGAAACATTGTGTCATGGTTCCGACAGATGAAACTCTTCAAAAGAACTTTGAGGCATTGTTTACTTTAAAGAATCTTTTATTCGAGAATCAAAGTATTGGCACTACATAGTTAAAGCCAAAAACTGAATTTCCCTCCCCTGAGCACAAAGTAACAAAGCACAATTCCATCTTCCAATTAACAGTCATAAATCACATCCCCCAATTAGCTTGAAGCAGGGCTTTCTCCCCAGCTCTTCAGCCAGCCAAAACATTATCAATGGGCGCAATAAACTTGGATTCCCATGGCTGAGTTATTACTGTTATCACTAGCTGGACTCTCATCCACATTCCCCTTCCAGCATCAACTAACTCTAAAAGCAAAAGAGTAAAATGGCAGCATTTCCATCTGTTGTCAAAGCAAGAACATCTGATGTTAGCAGTATTGACACATTGCAGTTGAGAAATTATGAGCCTTTATAATATTAGCATGAGAATTTCTGAAATAGTAATTCCAATTACTGATATTGCAATACTTATATTAATATTGAATGCAATGAGATAAATGTAACATCAAAATAAAAATAATCATAATTATAACTTTGATAAAAATAATGAAATTCAAATAATTGTTAGTGACTTTTAATACTGAAAAATTATGACACTGTCAAGAGATTAGGGGGGAATTTATTTTCCAAGTTCTGTTTTTTAACATTCATGCTGCCTTTCCATTAAAGAAAATTGCAGTTCACACCAAATACGGAAATGTTACAGCATGAACCACTACTTACCACAATAATAAATAATACTTTAATTACAGCCATAAAACAACAAGAAAACCACACCTCAGAATATTAATAGTAAAAGAAAAATCTTTAAATGCCTTCAGAATTCTGGGGGTAGAATTCTGTGTCTCTTAAATTGCTTGTAGTCTGTAAAAGAAGCGGGAGACAGAAAAATATGCATGCTTACTTTAAAGCGACATGTCACGGCTTTGTTGAATTTGTATCACAAATTCATTTCCTGGAAAGGAGTGTTTAGTATTGCTCTTTATATCTCTGCAGTATAAATTATTCTGATAAATGTTTATTAATGCTGCCAAGGATATTTCAGGAATCATATTGCCCCCTCCCCATTTTTTTCCCTATGTTAGTACAAAATGAGATGCTAACTAAGAAAGCATGTTGAGCTGTGGTGAGATCAGTGGGCAATAGTAGTTGAAAATGACGATGATGATGATTTTGCAGCTCAAATTGATCATCAGCATGCTGGTTGGAAGCAATGGGTAGAGGGCAGTTTACAAATTTAGTTGAAATGAGATTCCTGTACAACCTACTGGATCATTTGCATAGCTGTAGAAAAACTCTGGCGCTTCCTTCTCCAAAGCAGGTGGGTAGGCTGAATTGTTTTGCAGAAATGCACCTACATCGCCTTGTTCATTTTTCTAATATCAGAAAACATTCAGTGAAATCACTCATAAAAAAAATTCAAATTGCAAGCTAAATCAGCTTTAAAATTAAGAAATATAAGGAAAGCTTGATGAATTAGAAGGGGTATTACCATAAGAAGAAGGATTGGGCCACAATGATTTAATGTAGCTTCATTGAATATTCTGTGATGACTGAATATTTATCAGATATTATCAGATTTTTATCATATTTTTCTCTGGAGCTGGGCTTTAATAGTCACTTCTCTATGATGTATTACATATGTCTAGGTCAGAACATCTGTATCTCATTACTGTTTTAATTGTGTTACTTTTTTCTTCTATCAAAGTATTATCTTTTATATATTTTTTCTGCTCCTATTTAGGTATCTGCTACGTTTGCGGCAAGTTTAGTAACTAGTCCTGCTATTGGAGCACATCTGTCTAATTTGTATGGTGATAACTTGGTGGTGTTAGTTGCTACGGTGGTGGCTGTTGTAGATATCTGTTTCATTCTACTAGCTGTACCAGAATCTCTACCTGAAAAAATGAGACCACCTTCATGGGGAGCTCTTATATCATGGGAACAAGCAGATCCCTTTGCAGTAAGTTGTCAGCTATATTTATTCTGCTTCATCATACAAGATGTCATTTTTTTGTTTGTGAAAGAAAATGTATTTTGAGTGGATTGATTAAAATGAAATTTTGTCAAAACAGGTACAAAGCTATTATTTCTACATGTAACTTTCTAGTTATGTCTAGAAATGACTTGTGATGGGCAATACTAGTGATAGTAAAATCCTACAGAACCTTTACAATACAGGTAGTCCTCAACTTACAACAGTTCATTTAGTGACCATTCAGAGTTACAATAGCGCTGAAAAAAGTGACTTATGTCCATTTTTCACACTTACGACCATTGCAACATTCCCACGGTCATGTGATCAAAATCCGGATGCTTGGCAACTGACTCACATTTATGACAGTTACAGTGTTCCAGGGTTATAAGATCACCTTTTGCAACCTTTTGACAAGGAAAATCAATGGGGAAACCAGATTCACTTAACAATCACTTAACATATCAGCTGCAGTGATTTCACTTAACAGCTATGGCAAGAAAGGTTGTAAAATGGGGCAAAACTCACTCAACAAATGTCTCACTTAACAACAGAAATGTTGAGTTCCATTGTTGTAAGTTAAGGACTACCTGTATTTAACAGAGTAGTCTGTTTAATTTTATGACATGCAAGCAGGAACATAGATAATTGTTTATTAGATAAGTCAGTGTGGAATTGAAAAGGTGACAAATGAAACAGGACACTTCAGCCCTTGTATGCTTTTCTGTTATTTCATTTATCCTGACTTCTGAAACAGTTCAGATCATCGTCCTTTTTAAATCTAGTATTATGAAATGAAAACAAAAGCAACATATGTAGTTCCTGTGGTCTGACTTCACTAGCTCTGAGGACAGGCAGATTGTTACTAATTGGAATTTAGCTTCATTCGGTTTAGAAAGTAGAATCAAATTATTGGATGAACAGTTTTTAATTTTGCCGAGAAAGTATACTATTAAGTGCCATCTTGATTAATTTGGCCCAAAGTCAAGATTTTGGTTACCGTGGGCGACTGCCCAGATGAATTTAGGGACTCATCAATAAGAAGAATATTTAATGCATTAATAATGGATTGAAACAAACCATTACAAAATTATTCTACCTGAAGTGAGGGAGGAATAGGGTATAGGAGAGAACTATTTACCAGAGATTCTGTCCTTTCCAATATGATGGTGGGAGTTGTTAGCTTTTCCTATTTTAATCTGAAGTACCTCAGAATTTACATGACAGTTCTGTGAATGGCTATCCAGATTTTTGGAGTTATGTCTCATCACTCTCCCAATCGGTCCTTTTTCTTTCTTTATAAAGTTATGCCAGCCTTACTACAGGTAATCCTTGACTTACGACCATGATTGACCCCAAACTTTATGTTGCTAAGTGAGACAGTTGTTAAGTGAGTTTTGCTGCATTTACAACTTTTCTTGTCACATTCGTTAAGTGAATCTGGTGTTAGGGTTAGGATTAAGGGTATGTGAGGTTTGGTCCATTATGCGACCTTACTTGGCACAGTTGTTAAATGAATCACTGTAGTTAAATTAGTAACACGGTTGTTAAGTGAATCTGGCTTCCCCATTGATTTTGCTTGTCAGAAGGTTGCAAAAGGCGATCACATGACCCCAAGACACTGCAACCGTCATAAATATGAGCCAGTTGCGAAGCATCCGGATTTTGATCATACGACCATGGGGATGCTGTAACGGTTGTAAGTGTGAAAAATGGTCATAAGTCATTTTTTTCAGTGTCATTGTATCTTCAAATGGTCACTAAATGAACTGTTGTAAGTCGAGAACTACCTATATTGGCTTACCCCAATAAAACTCAGTCCCAGCAGATGTAGGCAATCTTATGGTGAATCTCACTTTCACTCTGGAGCAGATGATTAGTAATCTGGATATAGAGAGTTTTTCTATCAGCCTTTTGCCATTTTCCCTTCAGGTTAGATTCATTGCTACTCACACCCACCATGGGTTGATTAACATGGTTACCCTTAGGCAGCCCATAGTTCCAGATGGATTCTGACAGGAACATGGGTAATTTCTCAGTAGTCTTGTGGACAGTTTCGTTGAGCACCTGATTAGCATTGGCAATGTAGGCAGGCAATGTGATTATTTCCAGATAGCCTCTCTGTTGGCTAATTCTAAATGGCTCCCTGGTTTACTTCTGGGAGGTGAAGTTGGAGAATCATCATCTGAGATGCCAACTGAAGACAAAAAGTGAACCTGAGCATGGCTACAAACTAATTTTCAAACCAATGTAGGGGTCATATAGGAAATGAAACAACTATTCTACTGTCTTGGTGAGCTCTCAGCCAGCAATCTTGTTTAGGGTGGCAGGCTCCCTTTGGGAAGAACTCAGCAGTTAAATCTCCTTCCTGGCTGCTGCAACTTGTTTACGTGATATTTGGCAAACAAAGCTATTCAGATTCTCCAAAATCTTGACTGTTTGTGTGCAGAATTTGTTGTAATGACTGGATCAAGAACAAATGAAATGATAAAATGTACTCTTGGCTCTTATACTCATCTGTGGATTGGCTATCCCCCTCAAGTAGACCAGACCAAGAAATAATTCCCTGGAAAGTCTAAGACTACTTTAATTGAGAAATGACTGTAATAACAAATCTTTGACAGTGCTGTGCATCTTCCATTCTTATACCCAGATGAGTTAAGAAGTTGTCTTTCTGAGCCAGTTATGAGTGCTTTGGGCTTGTTTTGGATTTATAACTTGTTTTTCTCCTAGTTGCTTTACTAATGGATTTGGTCTATATCTCTCAAGGTCATTTTCCTTATTCTGTACTAGACTGGATCTTTGCCAATCCTGACTTCTTTGATTGGGGAAAGAACATGATAAATTGGATGTGGCACACTATCAATACCTCATTGCAGGAGGGATTGATGCCAACAGTTTTGAAGGAACTTCTTCCTTAAGAGATGGCTCACTGAATCTATCTGTCCTAGACAAGCATTGCCCTGTCTCTAAATTCCCATTTTTGGAATATAGACAATGGTCAATGCACAATTACAGAACATTCTAAAGAAAGCGAGTTATTTGGATCAGCCCACTTTGTGAATGAGTTTCAAAACCTTCTACTGTTCTCTTAGATATCTCAGTAATCCTTGATACTGTAGACCAATGTTTCTCAACCTTGACAATTTTAAGGCATGTGGACTTCAATTCCCAGAATTCCACAGCCAGTATTGCTGGCTGTAGAATTCTGGGAGTTGAAGTCCACATGCCTTAAAATTGTCAAGATTGAGAAACACTGCTGTAGACTTACGGACTTCTTACAGTGACTGGAGACTGTAGGCTGTGTTAGAATGGCTCTTGTTTCTTAGGGAACAATTCTAGTCAGGACAGGGAAGAGAAATTGATTCATTGCACTTTCGTGCAATGCCAGAGGATCCATTCCTTTATTCCTATTTAACTTTTATATTAAGTTGCTAGGGGATTCCAATCAGTCAGTTTGGGATTTAGTGTCATCAGTAATCTGATGCTCTCTAATTATTCATTCTTGCCCTGTTCTATACAGTAGATTCTGTCAATATCTTGACATAGTATCATAATATTTGATGAGACAAAATAGTCCAAAACTGAACCTAAGTAAGGTGGAATTACTTTTTTGATTGGAATGTACTGACATTATATTTCATAATGCAAACTTGAGGGAATAGGTCCCTGAGTTAGTTATTCTCCTAAGCTTTATTTATTGTTCTGTGGAGGTTTTATTGTTGGTTGCTTATGAGCTACCGTATGTGGCGGCGTACAAGGCGACCCGGCGTATAAGACGACCCCCATCTTTATCGCTGAGCCGCATTCCTAGAACGTCGTCTTATACGCCGGAAACTACCAGTATTTCCGGCGTATAAGACGACTCGGCGTATAAGACGACCCCCGTCTTTTGCGCCGATTTCAGCGCTCGCGGAAGTTGCCTTATACGCCGGCATTTACGGTACTAAGAGTCTTTTCATCTGTGGTGGATCCAAATTGAATGAATGCATGAATAACTATTATTAATAAATTATAGAAATAACTCATTTATTTCTGATATTTCCATTTTGTCTTACCTTACTTTTCCTCTATCTTTTGACAGTCTTTGAGAAAAGTTGGAAAAGATTCTACAATCTTGCTGACTTGCATCACTGTTTTTCTTTCTTATCTCCCTGAAGCCGGCCAGTATTCTAGCTTTTTCCTTTATTTGAGACAAGTAAGTAGTTTCCAGTATTTTTCACTGTCTAACCAGTGAACAAAGCTTTAATGTGGGGTTTCCATCTTTATTGGACTAGTGGGCACAGATGAAATTAAAAGCATGTCAAAATGTCTGTCTTGCATGGGCAAGTTTCCCATTCATGAAATGTTTACCAGATTGCAAATTGTTGAGGATCTCTTTTAACCTTTTAAGATGGTCCCCATAATCCGATTTCTTTAATATCAGCCTACATATTTTTCTTGTCTCCCAGAGGCATATAGAAAGCTACTTTGAAAACTCAGTGGACTCATAGGGGAAATGAATGAGAAATAACTCCCACATTTTGGGGCTTGTTTGTGGTTATAATGTATCCGAAGGAGCTGTTACTTGTAACATAATGCATTATAGTAGTCCTCAGTTTCAATCACAATTGAGACTGAAACTTTTGTCACTAAACAATGGGATGGTTAAGTAATCACCACGTGACTGCAACCAATTTAATGGCTTTTTTTACTGCTGTCTTTAACTGAATCACTCAATTATTAAGCAAATCCAGCTTCCTGCATTGACTTTGCTGGAAAGATCACAAATAGAGATCACGTGACTCTGGGATGCTGCAAACATCATGAATGTGAGCTGTTTGCCAAGTTCCTGGTTCGCTATCATGCGACAGTGGGGTCACTGTAATGGTTGTAAGTGTGAGGACTGCCCATAAGTCACTTTTTTTAGCACCTTCATAACTTCAAGTAATTGCTAAACAAATGGCCATAAATCAAAGATTACCTGTATTATTTTAAATAACAACAGACTTTTTCAATTTAAAATTTTCCCTGTAGTAACAGTATATTCCTTTCTCTAATCATGGCATTCTTCTGTCCATAGAGTGAAAAGGTAGATTCGTAGCTTATATATATTTTCAGTATTTAACTGCAAAGCACGTATCATTATCTCTGATCTCTCACATTTCTGATTTTTCTAAGAAAAAGCAAGTAAGAGACCAAAAACCTGTTATTGTAATGAAAAAATAAAAGAGAACATTATATCATTTGCTATGTAAATTTGACATTTTGTTGATGGGCAGAGAAGATAGACAACATTTCATTAAAATCTTCCTCTAGCCATTCTTTCAGAAGGCTCTTAAAGTTCATAAAAAAAATAAGAAATAGCAGAAAGGCAATATAAATGTGACAGCAATCTATAACTTTTAGTTGGAGACAAGATATTAATGTCACTGTGGGGGTGTACTTTACAGATCAGCAGTCATTTAAAAATGTCTTCTCAATTTCATCCCTTCCAGACATTTTGAGCTATAATTTCTAGTTATATATCTAGTATGTCATGGAGTGGTAGCCCAAACCATTTAAAAGGTATCCATATTAGGGGAGCCTGGTATAAAACAAACTATACTACCTACCTGCCTATCTACCTACTTACCTGTGCTTTTAATCAAAGTTTTTAAGCTTTTTTTGGAGGATAAAAAAGTAGACTTCTATGGTAACTACAATAGTTCTTGACCTATGTCTGTTTGCTTGGCAACCATTCAAAGTTAAAGTGGCAAACAAAAAATTGAACTTAGTGTACAACCAGTCCTCAAAAGTTCTGACCATCATAGTGTCCCTGGGGTCATGTGATTGTCATGCAGACACTTAAGTGCCTGGTTCATGATTATGATGTCAGAATGAGCCGTGTCATATCACCATTTGCAACCTTCCCTGCTGGTTTCCAATAGGGGGGAAGCTGAAAGGGAAAGTCAAAAGTAGTAGACCCTAGTAAATGTCTCCCACCACTTTTTCTCTGAAGAAGCTTGATACATAAAAGATCCCAGAGATCCTGCCCACCCACACTCTGTAGTACATGCCTGCCTGAAGCATCCCCCACTTCCCACAGCCTCTGACAATCTGCTTGAGATCCCCGTGCTCTCTAGCAGCTGCCAGTGGCACCCTCTACTCCCCCTATTCCCCACGCCATCCCCCTCCAGATACTCCTTACCTGGAACTCTCACCTCACTTAAATAATCTGTACATCCTGAGGTTACAAGGACAACCAATAGTACCACGATTGCTGTTGTTAAGCAATGCGATCATGGGTTGCTGTGCTTTATGACCACATCACTTCATGACAGCAGTCCTGGTCCCAATTGCCAATATTACCCAAGGATTATGAATGAACTATGGTTTGTAGCATTCTGGGAAATTTTATTGTAAATAGCTGTTCTCATGAAGTAACACAGTTTTTTTCCGAAGTGATTGAAATAGGTTATTATTCTCATAATAATGGGTCATGTGTATGTGTCTATCCTTACATGTTTATGCACCTCAACCAGGGAAATCTTATGAAGGTGCAGGAGAATATTTTGAATTGAAATTATGTTGTGCAGTGCTGTGCCATCCTGCATATGGCAGTATATATTAGCAAAGGGCCATGGCATTGAGGAATCAGTTGTTTTTTATTTGGCTGAAGTTGATATTTATGATTTTAATCGACACTTCTTTTTTTACAAGTTATATACAATCACAAAAATCTCCTAGGATTTGGTGTTCTTTCTGAGTTTGTTTTCCTTTTGTAAACTTATTTTTTGTAAATATAATAATTCCTTTTTCTGAAAAAGATTTTAAGTATCTGTGAAATTTGAAGTACAGATTTTGTTTAATTTATTTACAGGTGATAAAATTTGAGTATGCAAGCATTGCAACATTCATAGCTGTGATTGGCATTCTTTCTATAGTCGCTCAGGTAAGCATAATTTTAATAAGATTTTTAAAAATTGCAATAAGCACACATAATTAAAATGTACTAAGTGATGAAGTGTACTTTGCAGATTATGTATGTGTAAGTAAAATGTATGTAGGGTCTACTATGAAATAAAGAGAAAAAGTACATATTTTATATCAAATTTATGTCTAACAAAATAATTCAAAATGTTTCAGAATTATGAATAATATATGAGTAAAAATGCATTAAATAAGAACCATCAAAAAGTTAAAAGCTGGTTTTTTATCTGATGCTGACAGAGAATTGGAGTCTGACCAATTGGTAAAGATTCTGCAACAGAAAACCTTTGCCCTGATTATCATTTACAGAGTGAACATTTGAAAAAGTCTTTTAGATTATGACTGATACATGTTGGTAGAGTCTATGGAAGAAGGTGGTCCTCTAGTATAAAGCTGACAGTGCTTAAAAAATGAAAAAGAGCATATGAAATTGAACATGGAAACAAACTATCCCCTAGCACAATGACACAGAATATGTGTAATACTCAGAACATATTCAGGTAGTCCTAATTTACCAATCTGCAATTGGGACCAGCAACTCTTGTCATACTCCTTATGTCAATTCTGGCTGCAGGAAGCAAATCACCTACAATTAAGTGTGCTGTCATGTGACCATGACTTGCAACTTCCTGCTGTCTTCCCCACTGACTGCAACCTACATAGCCAGGTTCTGACGAGCAAATAGTATCATGTGACTGTGACTGTCACAAATGTGCACTGGTTGCCAAGTGCCCAAATTGCAATCACATGATCATGAGGAGCACTGTGACTGGTGCAATTTTTTCACAAATTGTAACTTCAAACAGTCACTGAACAAACTTATTGATAAGCAAGGACCACTTGTAGTTCCCATCAGCATCCTCATCAGATGCCATCTGTAGCAGTTGCAGTTTCCAGCATTTTTCAGTGGCAACATTACATTGTACTAGTGCAGAGGTCCCCAACCTTATGGGCACCAGGGACTGGTTCCATGGAGAAAGGTTTTTCCACAGACTGAAGAGTAAGTGGTTTTGTGTGCTGCCTGCATCCCACAGATGGGGCTTTGCTCGTTTGTGCAGACCGGTTGCTGGCATGCCACGACCCCGTGCTGGTCCATGGACCAGGGGTTGGGGACCCCTGTACTAGTGGACATTTTACCTTGCCTGATTGCAAGGTAACTGAATGTTTGAATCCACCTGGCAGCTTTCTTACAAAGAGTCATATATTCTTTGGGAAGACTTTTTTGTTGTTGTCAGTGCTTTTATCAGGTCTTTGCTTTGGATATACATCATGAGGCTTTGGTTGCAGTGTTGAAGGGGCCCCAAAAGGTTGATGCTGAATTTGTGCACACATAAGTGAACAATTGATATTAGTTTCAGATGATTTTTGCACAGCTGTACAAATTAATTTTAAAATGTTGTCTTTTGTCACTGCATTTATTCAGATACTGATTTATAAATAAACTGCATAATGCATTTTCTGACTTTTGTAGACTGTCTTTCTCAGCATCCTGATGAGGTCTATAGGGAACAAAAACACAGTGCTGCTTGGCCTTGGTTTTCAGATGTTCCAGCTGGCCTGGTATGGTTTTGGCTCTCAGCCTTGGTAAGTGCAGCGCAGATGTGTTTCATTGACTCTTCTTAGTTTCCTTTTTAACAGTTCAATTGAATATATTGCATGTTGTGTGCTCGTGGGCAGGGAAGGTATGGTAGACCTACCTGGGCCATATTTTTATGTACAGTTCTAACTCGTAGATGTATTTTAATAACTCCATGGTCAGATCACAGATAGAATGATACAGGAAGAGGTGCTTTAAGAACATGATGCTCTGCTGGATTAGATACTTTGCCCATCTCCTCATCCTGGCCAACCAAGTGCCCAAGAAAGCCCAGTGATCTCCAAGCCGATGGCCTTCAGAGATAGGTACACTGACATCAAGACTAATAACCATTGGCCAAGATCTTAAGTCATTTACCAGATCAAATGCAGCATTATATGTCAAAACTTAGAATCTGAACTGTGACTGGTGACAAAACAGGTTTTAAAGGAAAGAGATTGTTGCAACCTACTAACAAGTGTCAAGAAATAAAGGCAACTGCCATATTTTGGTTTGCCAAATTTTGAAATTAGCCACTTTGTAATAGAAAGATATAATGGTTTATTTTCTCTCTCTCTCTCTCTCTCTCTCTCTCTCTCACACACACACACACACACACACACACACACAGAGAGAGAGAGAGAGAGAGAGAGAGAGAGAGAGAGAACAAAAAAATTATAAATACATCCTCCCAAAATAATATTTTATCATACAGTAGTAATGATGCATCTCACTCACGACAGCAAAGTTTTAGTTTCCAAAGGCCTTCCAAAGTAGCCAGATCTTAACAAATAATTGAATAAGGGAAATTTTTCTATAGAAGGAGGGGAGATTTCACAAGTAAAGCCCCTTTCTGAATCCTCTTCTGACAGATACTCCACTAGGTATTCTGTATGCACTGGTTGGGCCAATTCTTCCTGGAAAAGGGGCTCTCAAAGCTATCCAGATCTCAAGTCATATTGGGCTTTATAGGTAATAACCAGTTTGTTGGAAACAAGCGGGTAGCCAGTGCAGCTCATATTATAGCAGTGTAATATGGTAGTAATAAATTTAATATTATCGTGGCAGTAGCAACATTTTCCACCAGCTGACATTTTGGGGTGGTTCTGAAGGGCAGTCCCATGTAATTAGTGTAATCTAGTTGAGAGGTAATGTTGATAATGAGGGATTATACTATATGTGTCTAATTTGTTTTTCATTGCAATTCTCTCTGCTTTATAGCTGCTAAAGTGAGAAACTTTCCATGGGTATGTCAAATCTTGTAGCAGCTGGAATACAAAGCCTGGCTTTAAATTTGAGACAACTAACAAAATACATAACATTTGTAGAGATGTCTTCAATCAGTCTTTATTATGATCCTGCAACCAATAATATCCAAAAAGGCAAAAGAATTTTAACTAAAAAGCACACCAAGTATCTCAATATGAATGGCATATTTTTAAATACAGAAAAATATAAGGCTAAAGAAAGTGAAAAAATAGCAATATATATTTTGACCTAAAATATATAATTTTATCTCTTATCTTTATTGCTAGTTACCTAAAACCATCTGACTTAATTATTGTTCTTGTGAACAGTTGTTTTTACATGTTTGAAGCTGTTAAGCAGAAGAACATGGTAATACTATTTGAAATATTTGTATCTAGAACAGAACAACAACAAAAATGTATAAAGCTCTGTGAACTACTTGGGTAATTCTTTAAAATATTAAAAAAAAACTTCTAAATAGATCCTTCCTTTCAAATTATATAGCATTATGTTCTCTTGTGCTTAGGATGATGTGGGCAGCTGGAGCTGTTGCAGCCATGTCAAGTATCACATTCCCAGCAATCAGTGCTCTTGTGTCACGCAACGCAGATTCGGATCAACAAGGTGAAAACAAGGTTATTTTTCTACAAAACTGATCTTGTAGCTGTTTCCTCCCCCCCCCCCTAAAATTCGTGTGGATGTATAATTTTTGTGCCTCAGTAATACTGAGCCCAAAATTTCTGTTGCTGCTAAGTTGTTGAAGTGAATTTTGCCCCGTTTTATGACATTTTTTTTGCCATAGTTGTTAAATGAATTACTGCAGTTGTTAAGTTAGTAACACAATTGTTAAATGAACCTGGCTTCCCCATTGACTTTGCTTGTCAGAAGGTCACAAAAGTGGATCATATGATCCCGGGATACAACCGACATAAATATGAGCCAGTTGCCAGGCATCTGAATTTTGATCACGTGACCATGGGGATGCTGCAACAGTCATAAGTTTGAAAAAGGGTCATTTTCAGTGCTGTTGTAACTTCAAACGGTCACTAACTGAACTGCCATAAGTTGAGGACTACCAGTTAGTAATCCTGTAATAGCTTTTGAAAGCAGTACACTCTGTATGTCTTTTATCGCCTCTTGTGCATGCAAAAAGAGGCAAGTTACACATAGTGTGACTCTTCATAAATGATATTTATTTATTGTTTGTAAACAATACATATTTAGCTTGGAGAATTTTTTGAAGGTGATTTCTTTTGGGGATATAACTTGTGTGGGATAAGAAGCTCCAAAACAAACCCAGGGCAGTACAGACATAGGCATCCTCAGGAACGCAACTGACAGAGGAGAATCTGGTGATATACAATCTCTTCCTTTAATTAATTGCATGCAACATGGTGCTGCAAATATGAAAGGGTATGGCTTACATTGTGACGTGATGTGCAGTTCAGCATTTTGCCATTATTGCAGCTAGCTGCGGATGCCTGTATATCAAAGAACTAGTGATGGGCAGGGATACTTGTAATTATTTTGCCTGTCATCTCTGTACCTCCTTGCTGGGGGAGAATCTCTGCCCTGTTATCCTAATTCCAGGGGAAAATGAACTCCCCATCTTTATTAGTTTACTCGTGTTTCCCGAACTTGACAATTTTAAGGCATGTGGACTTCAACTCCCAGAATTCCACAGCCAGCAATGCTGGCTGTTGAATTCTGGGAGTTGAAGTCCACATGCCTTAAAATTGTCAAGTTTGGGAAACACTGGTTTACTGTGAGGTTAGCTGACATATATTGTCAGTGAAGTTTGTTTGTGACATAGATTATTTTTCTTTCTGGAAGAATGGTGATTCAGGTTCACTTGTTTTTGAGGTGAAGATGGGTGGAAAATGGGGAATGATAGAAATGTCATAATCATCACAGTGATTTCATTCTCACTAGGCCAGGATTTGAAGAAGACATATCGATTTTATTATTTTGTTAAAAAATGATCACGATTTTTGATGAAAAAAGAATGGGAATACCCTGTTGGCACTTTATAGAATAACTTTCTTGTGTAAATGTATAATGTAATCTAAAATAAGCTCTTGCACTGGGGCGGGGTTGGTAATTAAGTATTCTCTGAAGTGTTTTTAGAAGTTTGAAAGTACATGCTAATGCCATCTAGTGGTGATTGAATATGTGAGAATGTATATAAATATGCTCTCTGAGATACAAATTTTCTTGTTAGATACTTTCAAAACTATTTAATTGCACCAGTCATTCCAGTATAAAAGAATATGTTGAAATCAGTGATCTAATTTGGTTCTTTTGATAGTATCCAACAAGAAAATCTGCTTTTCAAAGAGCAAATATATGTCTCAAATTAATTACTAGTCTGCAACATTACTTTTGAATGTAGTTGATCTCTCTTTAAAGGTGGTTAATATTTGGCTTGGAAAAAGATCAAACTGTATAAGAGCTCAGAATCCAATTGAAATGCAGTCTGTAGAGCTCTTTTGTTGCATTTTTGAAGTTGGATTGGCTGGCAGAAATTATTTTTCCTTCACTGTGAACTTGCTCTTTCCCAGGTGTCGTCCAGGGGATAATAACTGGAATCAGAGGTCTGTGCAATGGTCTTGGCCCTGCTCTCTATGGCTTCATATTCTTTCTCTTCCATGTGGAACTTAATGAGTTGGCACCAGTTCAGGATAAGGCTACTAGGCAGGATCCAAGTGATGAGGTAAAATGATTATAAATCTTTCTTCGAATAGTGGCTCTTAATAGTCCTTGATGAGGCATCCTACAACTGATCTTTCTTCATTTCAAACTGCAAACATAACATGGAGTGAATCAGCAGTTGATTTTTTTGATGGGTTTTCCAGCTAAAACCGTAACCTTTTTGTACTCTTGCCTTGTTTTTTTGATGTCATTCAGCTGTTGCCAGCCATGCTTGTCCTTCTAACAGCCCTCTTCTGTGTCAGTCTTGTAGATTGAAGAATGCTTCTCTTGAAATACGAACTTAAAGAATCAGCTGCATAATTTTGACAGTTCACAGGTTAAAATACTGTGTTTTAGGATCTGTTTCTGAAATCCAATACTGTGTGAAAACAATGATTCAATATGAATAATTATAAGTCAACTCACAGTAGTTCTCACACTCAAATAGGGCCTGGTGGAGCACATGTAGAAGCATACAAGGCAATTTTTGTCTGATTCTTTTCAAAACACCCAGAACCAAAAAGACTTCCTACTGGTTTAATATTATGGCTCAGTTCATTATGGGATGAAATAGGAGTGTGATTGCTGGAGAAGACAAGTGTCTATGAAGATTCTCAGTCACGCAGGTCATGGTTGTCCCAAAGGTGCTTTTTCAAGAGGCAACTGGACTTTCTTGTTTTTCTTTGAAGACATTTCACTTCTCATCCAAGAAGCCTGATTCCCCACCATCCAGTCAGAGCTGAAGAAGTTTCTTGGATGAAAAGCGAAACGTATTCAAAGAAAAACAAAGTCCAGTTGCCTCTTGAAAAAGCACCTTTGGGACTGGAGAAGACAAGTTTCTAACTTTCAACAACAGCCAACAACTGCCAAAATTGATGCAGGTCTGTTTGATGTTGGCAGCACAGTTCTATTAGTGACATGTGTAACTGTTGACTTACTGGACAGTTAAGGATGCAGATGTGAGTGGCTTCATTGTTCACGTTATATTAATCTGTGGTTGCTCAGTCTTTCTCATTTCTTTTTACAGAGTGCAATTATACCTGGTCCTCCTTTCCTTTTTGGAGCATGTGCAGTCCTCCTAGCCTTTCTGGTTGCCTTATTTATCCCCGAGCACAGTAAAGCCGCCAATACCAGGAAGCACAGCAACAGCATCAACAGTATCCAGAGCAACAGTCCAGATCGGGGTAGTGATGAGGATATTGAACCTCTGCTTCAAGATAGCAGCGTATGAAAGCAGTTTTCTTCTAAGGTGTTAACAGAGACAGTCATCGGGCAGACATAATCCATGCACTGAGCTCTGAATCCAGAGCAGTTCTCTTCTGGGGTGAACTTTTGATCTGTCAGAAGCTTTGCACATTTCACTCACCTAAGATATCATGTACAAGTGGGCATTGGTATTCAATTAAGGCTGATTGCAACCACCTACTGTGGATTTTCTGTAAAACAGTCCAAAGCAAGTTTTTCTTTCTGTATCCATGCAATTGGGAAAGATGATCTTCAGATATAGTTAAATACTTGAGTACCCAGATTCACTGTGAGCAAACCATAACCTTGCTAGATTCCCCCCCTCCCCCAAGAGTCTTCATTGCTTCTCTACTCTCTTGTAGCTCATGGGGTTTTGGAAAAAGAAATACTCCATTTCAATAAACATTACCGACAAAGGTTTCTATCACAATCCCACTCCATCAATGCATTCTTAATCTCTCTCTAACATGCTGCCTGATTGATTGAATATTGCTGAACTATTTCAAGTGTACAGGGAATGTCAATTGAAAGATAAACTATTGGTGCATTTTCAACCCTTGTTTTTAAAATCTCTAACTGAGATGTTAATTAAAAGGGCTCCTGTTGAAAACCTGAGCATGGCAAGGATGCCAATCCCTTTGATAAAAACCGTTAGTGATGCTCACTTCTGGCACCTCCAATGTGGCCAGTTCTGACGTATGAACTAATTAAATGGGTGCTGAGGCAATTTATATTGACGTGTATTTATCACATCATCTGTCATCTTTTAACTGCCATACAAAACATTTCTGTCTTATTTAATTTCACTCCTGCCTTAACTGCTACTTAGTGTACATTGTTATCAGCTATATTTAGCCTTCATATCAATTCTGAAGAATCTCATAGAATTATAATTATGAAATGTCTATCTAAAAAGACTTTAAAATATGATTTAGTTTCTACAGAGTACCATGTTACAATTTTTAGAAGCATTTTTGAAATTGCACAGGTTTCTGTGTATTTTGTGGCAGTAAAAATGGAACATTACACAAATCTAACGAAGTACTCTTATGAATGTTTTATATGTATGAATATATGTAGATATTTATAAGAAGTTCTACTTTTTTCCTGATGGAGTACTGTGTAAATCTTGTATTTATAAATGTAATGAGGGCACTGACAGATATACAGCTTTTATAAAGGATTGTGTAATGACGGAACAAAATTTAAATATATATATATATTTTGAAACTTGGTCCGCCTTAAGCAAAGATATCAAACCTTTTGTACTATGCAGTTTCGTTTTTAAGTTAATAAGCTTCCTAATGCATAATAAATTTGCGAACTATATTATTCAAGGTTGTAATGTCTTTTGTCTCTCATTAAAAGTGTACATGAATTATTTATATGATGTTGGATTTTTGCTAATTAGTTATTACATACCAGCCCGATAGCCAGCATCTTTCTCCAACATGTATTGCTTTAATAAAAGCACCTTTATCAATATAAATAATTCAAAGTAAACTGAAGGGATTTCAAACCTATCGATGTGCTTCTCAAAGACTGAAAAAAGACAGCATTAGTTTTTCATAATTGACAAACTTTTAACATTCACAAACCATTGAATGAGATACAACCAAAGCAAAGGCAATAATAATAAAATGTAATTTACCAATTTGAGCAATCTATAGATAGATAGTCCTCGACTTAACAACTATAATTGGGACTTAAATTTTGGTTGCTAAGCGACATAGTTAAGCTAGTAGTTGCATAACAAGACCCAATTTTACAAACATTAAGCAAATCGCAGTCGTTAAGCAAACCATATGTTAAGTGAATTGTGTAGGCTTTAAGCGAATCTGGCTTCTCCAATTGACTTATCAGAAGCTTGCGAGTTGTGATGGCGTGACTGCAGGATGCTTTATTGTAAATGTGAATTGGCTGCAAAATGCCTAAATTGTGATCATGTGACCAGAACAGCCATAAATGAGTTACTTTTTCTGACATTGTAACTTCAAACTTTCATTAAAAGAATGCATGTAAGTCAGGGACAACCCAGACATTCTCTTAGTTTGGCTGCAGACGCTTCCTGCACAAGCAAATCTGATTGATTAAAAAACCTAAAATAATATTTTGGACTGGGAAGGTAAGATTGTAATACCATTTCTCTTTTGGCTTTATTGAGAGATGAATATTCCTCGAATATTTAAAAAATCTGAAATCTTTTTTTTATGTTGCAAGTGAATATGGAGATTGTTGATGGTAAGTGAAAATGAACTGGATTGGGGATCTTTTATCCAATCAAAATTGTCATGTTTAAATAGTCCGTTAGAGTTTATCTGCTTTGTAGGCAGAAGTTCCAGCATTAAATCTGGTCTCCACGCAGAAGTACAGGACTGAAATTTTATTTATTTGGACTGAACTTAATTGGCATAAAGTTTTTTCCTGTGTTACTATTAGTAATTCAATGATTGGTGGCCAAAATGAACTAACAATATATGCTAAAAGTGCAATGGTGCAATATTTCTCAATTATATGGGAAAATTATGCTACAAACATGAAAAGGTTAAAAGAAATCCTTTGCATTGAATTGAATTGCTGGACATCCATGTTGCTTTCTTGGCAACAGTTGAGAAGTTGTTTTCAGTGTCACTTTGCTGGTCTAAGAGCAGCCCCTGCTAAGCAAGTTTGAGGATAAGATTGGTTTGATTATGCTATCCATAGAGAGCCCTAAAGTTGTGGCTAACAGTATGGAGTTGCTGTTGATAAAATTCAGCCATCAAGTGGATTGGGATTTGATTACTGCATCTCTTATAAATGTCAGATTTGTTCCTGTGCCTTACTAGTTAAAATATTTGAACATCTAGGTCATCTTTAGAAATGTTCACATTAAAAAAAATCTGAAGGTCATGTTAGTTAGGTTATCAACATTTCTGCAAAGGATTGCAATATCCCTGCTACTAGAGAGAGAAGCCATCCTGGGAAAAAAGTCCTTTATTGAACTAGTAACATTTATCAACAATCCTAAACGTGTGTTAGACTTGACCCTTGCCTTGGGCACCAATCTTAACATTTTATTAAGCTAAAATGTGAAATTTAAATATTAACATCTAAAACTGGCTTCTTTATTTCCTTGAAGAAGCAAATCCATATAGAGGATCCTTTTATCTGCATAGCAAAATATGTTTCAGTATAATTCACCAGGCCCAAAAGAACTTGGCATGCTAAATTTTCAGTCCCTTAGTTTGAAGATTAAAAATACACTTCACTTAGTAAAGTGAAATAATTTAACGTTCCCCCCCCCATACCCTGATATAAGCCCTGGGTTACTGTAATGATGGAGATAAAATATGGAAGACTCTTCCTCTTAGGACAAAACTCTTACTGCTTTAATATAATGTATGTGGTGAAATGATAATCTTATTTAGCAATAAAAAGCAGGTCTGAGATAGGGCAGCATATTTTGGGCCATTTTAGATATTAAACTTAAAGGAAAGCATCCTAGAATTATCATTGCTTCAAATACATGGAGTGCAGGATACATTTGTGGCATCTCTAACAAGGAACCCTAAATTTCAACCCTAAATTATGCACCAGAAGAGTAATGATATGCAATGTCACACCCATGGATCTGTGAATGCTTGGTGCTATACAAAACCAACTAAAGACTCCTAAAGAATTAAGTGGGATTGTGGAAGACAACACTGGAAGTCAACTCAAGACAGATCACACAAGTAGCCATCAAGTGTGGCATATACTAAGGTGACGTTACTAGCCCCCACTATTGCTCTGCACAGACTGCACTCCCCAAGCCAGATAATCATGGATCTACAGTGAGAACATTGGGATTGTCATTTGGACTGGAGAAATATGGCTGGATCAAAGTCAAGGGAGCGAAGATAGTTGAGACTGATGATGTAGAACTATCAACAGGGCTACATAACATACACAGACCACTTATAAGTATCTTGGAGTCCCACAGTCACATGGGAACCACAGTGAGGAGACGAAGACAGTAACATCCAAGTACCTTTAAAGGATAAGATAGGTCATGCTTCATTTTTAGTGTTTACATAGACAGACCAGGGTAGTTTTCTTCACAGTAATACTTTTCTTTGTTTGCTCCTGACTTCTGGGATGCTGGTCTCCCATGTATTAACCAGCTCCTACCCTGCTTAGCATTTCAAAATCAGCCAAGACCATCTAAATGTGTCATCTTGCTAGGCCAGAAAAGCTAGAATAGAGATTGGGCAACATTTAGTGGTTGCAGAATGCAATTAACATTCTTTGGTGGAAGGAGAGGACCCTGGATTGTAGATGGTTGGATTGCATCACGTAATATGGGTGTTTATATTGCATTTCCCAAAACTGTTCATATGCAAAATTTTAAAATAACAACCCCCAAGATATATAATGTAGAATTTTACAAATGAGGAATGAGGCTAATTGAACAGAATGAGGGACAATCAAGTTACATGGCTTTTTCCATTTTGAAAAGTTCTATGTTTGAAATAAATGGCTAATCTCAAGTGCAGCTCGTGCACCTACACATTAACATGCATTTGAGGCTGTCACTTTACATGGCAGTTTGTGACAAGAATTCTAAAGGCAATTGTTTCTAATTGTTGCAAGCATCAGCATCTGGAATGACTGTGTTGCAATATTTGGATATCTTTTAAAACTACGTGGATTGAATTACCATGTCTTGCAGTCAACTAACCACTAGCTGGCAGTATAACACAGCTCTTATGGTAGGTGCACCCTCTGATCTCATATGGTGTCTGCCTAATGTCTGCCTCTCTGTGTTTTGATTTTAAAAAGTGGAAAAAAGATATTGGATTTCTGTACAGATGGGGCTTTTAAAAATATTTTACGGATGAATTATTGGATTGCTTAAGAATAACAAAAAAATAACAAAAGCAAAATGTATAGAACTGTATGAGACTGAACTATGAATCATGAAGCCACCAGTTTGAATCCTGTCTTTTTCATAAATTTACTAAACATTTTAACCTTTTATTCTTTCATAGTACTTTTCATTTACCACACCAGAGGTACAAGGAATAATAAATGCGTGCATCAGCCAATATAAAATCAAAATTGGGTTGTTATCCAATATGAATGAGAGATGTGAAAAGAACAATATTTGATTTCAAGTAAGTTTGATTCCATAAAACAGACATGTCAAACACAAGGCCGGGGGCTGGATGCGGCCTGGGAAGTGGTTTCATATGGCCCACGAAGCCATCCTGGAAACAGTGAGGGAACGGCCCCACTGCCTTGGCCCTGGCCCAGGCCGGCCGGGAGCCAATGTACAATTTTGTGGTGGCCATCTATGCTGAAACACATTCAGTCTTAGTTCCACAAGGCCGTCTAGAAACAGCGAGGAACCAGCCCCTGCCATGTTGGCCCCGCCCCATGAGTGGATGCTGGGGAGGTGTCACCCTTTGTGAGGAATGAAGAAATGGACCATGCCTTGGCGCTTGCCCCGGTCCCACCTCCTTCTGCCAGAGACCCTCAGATCTGTCCCACTCCTGCCCAGGCCCCCAAGGTACCTTTGACGCGAATGATGTAGAGCTGGCCATGCCCACCCAGTAGGCCACACCCACTCCATCCATGCCCACCCAATAGGCCGCACTCACCCTGGTCATATCCACCCTGGCCACACACCCCCGCCCCCCCGAGGGCAACCGCAATGCTGATGTGGCTCTCAATGAAATTGAGTTTGACACTCCTGCCATAAAAGATTCCACGTGGATTATAAATTGGAAGCATCAAAACACTTAAAGCTGCTTTTTTTTTTTTTTTGCTAGAAAGGAATTGAAAGATAGATAGTAGAAAATAACTGGCAGAGCCTTTAGAAGACATTAACTTTGCTAGATGTCAACCAAGATAGTTTAGGGGATTTTACTGTTAATGTTTTTGAAATATTATTCAGTATTCAGGCAAAGTGCAAAGATAAGGAAAGACAACAATGTAGTCCTCAAAGAGTTTGGCCAAACTGTCTACAGAGAAGTGCTGACTGAAAGCTACATGTGTCTTATTACAATTTAATAATATCTTAATAATAATAAAATACTACTTTAAAAGTAACCTCTTAATAAAAAAATGAAGACTGCATTGCCCTCTGATCATTGGGTTTTCTGATCTAATTAGCTTGTTGATACAGCTCATTAGCATGGTTAGTTTCTTCTGTGAACATAATGTACCCCTTGTGCAGCAATTAAAAAAAGTCTTCAGAAGTGTATGTGTGATATAGTATTTTGTTATGTTACAGTGTACAGCAATAGATTGTTGTTTATAACACATTCTAACAAAGTGTTTTTTAAACTTGGGAACTTCAACTCCCAGAATT